AAGATATATAAAATATTTAGAACAGTACCTAGAGCATACTAAGTGCTCAACGAACTGTCTAATGACATCGTTTATCCTTCCTCTTCTACAGAAAAGAAGTTATCTTGGTGAAGGATAAAAAACATGGCATTGGCAGAACAGTTTTAGATATTCCTAGCTCTGTCACTGACTATGTGATGTTAGGCAAGTCACTTAAATCCTAAGGTTAGGTTGTAAGAAATAATAAACATCAATGGATATTCTTTTAAGAAATTAGAAAAAGAGCAGTTCAAAAAAAAAGTAAAAAAAAAAAATAATAAAAATACTAGCTGGCAAAAGTTAAATTAAAAATATATGACAGGAAGAAAACAAAACCCAAAACTGGTTCTTTGGAAAGATTAATAAAATTAACAGATCAGTTACAAGCTTGTTTAAAAAAAAAAAAGAGTGATAGGTGTATAACATAAAATATGAGGGACACAGAAGGGGACATTACTGTAGATCTTACAAATATTTAAAAAATAGAACTCTATGGCAATACACTTGAAAATTTAGATGAAACAGGCATTTTCTAGAAAAAGCACAATTACCAAAACTGAAACAAGAACTACAACATCTTAATAGTCCTTTCTAATAAAGACACTGAATCTGAAAGCAAAGAACCCTGCCACAAAGGAATCTTTAGAACCAGCTGGCTAGAATTTATAGGTGAATTCTTCCCAAACATTAAGGAAGAAATAATACCAATTTTATCCAAACTTTTCCAGAGAGCAGAAAGAGGGGATACTTCGCAATTTACTTTGAGGGCAGCATAAACTTGATACTAAAACCTGAGAACATTTACAAGAAAGGAAAATTACAGGTCTATCTCTCTCATGAACATCATTGCAGAAAGCCTTAACCGACATAAGAAGAATATACTATGATCAAATTGAGTTTACTTCAAGAATGCCAAGAAGGCTTAACAATGGAAAGTCAATCAGTGGAAGCCATAATGTAACATAAAGAAGGAGAAAAATCCTATTACTATATCAACTAATGAAGTAAAAAGCATTTGAAAAAGTCACCATTTATTCATGATAAAGACTCTCAGAAGTTTCCTTCTCTGACAAGAGGTAGCTATGTAAACCCAGAGCAAACATCACACTTAATGATGAAATACTGATGCTTTCTCCCTGAGATTGGAAGTAAGACAAGAGTATATGAAGAACACCCACAAATTAATAAGACAGGGAGCCCAATAAAAATATGAGCAGAAGATTTGAACAGGCACTTCAGAAATAATGATATGCAAGTAGCTATAAACTGTGAAAAGGTACTTAAGTTCATTAGTCATCAGGATGTGAGTGAAAACTTTTTTATGGTCAAAAAAGTTCATTCGGGTTTTTCTATAATATCTTACAGGCTTCCCCCCTAAGAACACAGTGTATAACTTAATAAGAACTGGCCAATATTAGTCAATAGACAGAGACATCAAGCTTTTTTAAAGTCTTAAACTATGAGGTTTCTACAGCCAGAAAAAGAAAAACAGTCAACATATGACTTCTACAAGTAATAGAAGAGCCTTTCTAAGTAAAACTTTCTAATTTGGTCAAAGTACCAAAGCTCAATAACCCTTGAACTGTTGGTTATTTTGCTATTAGAAAGAAAAGATACATCAGGCATAATATCTATATAACAATGAAATTTCATTAAGTGGAAAACACCATGGAGTACGGTATTGGATAGATGTGGGGTTTTGTTTAAGCTATCTGTGAGATCTTGAACAAGCTGCTTAAATTTTCCAATTATAGTTTTCTCACTGAAAAGTGGGGATAAAATAATGGGAATGATAGCTCTCCAAAACTAAACTGGAAGTAGGGTGATTTACTGGTCAAGAAGGCGATGCCTTATGTTGTTATAAGAATATGGCAGGACTCCCCTTGTTAAGGGAAGAATCTGGTTGAGAATCCAATCGCCAGTGCAGGGGACATGGGTTTGATCCCTGGTCCAGGAAGATTCCACATGCCACGGAGCAGCTAAGCCATGTGCCACGGTTACTGAGCCTGCATGCTACAACTACTGAAGCCTTTGAAACTAGAGCCTGTGCTCAGCAACAAGAGAAGCTACTGCAATGAAAAGGCTGTGCACTGCAATGAAGAGTAACCCCCACTCACCACAACCGGAGAAAGCCCACGCAGAGCAACGAAGACCAAGTGCAGCCAAAAATAAAATAAATAAATAAAAAAGAATATGGCAGACATGAGGATTGAGTCTTCATATCTTAAATTTAACATGTCCAACTCTGCTCCTCTCTCAGACTTTCCCACTGTACTAAATGATCAAACCTAGGAAAAAATCTTGATTTTCTTTTCCTTACCATCTCCAACACTTAATTTACCAGTAATTCTGTCAGGCCTGGCTTCTGAATTATATCCCTGATCCATTTTCACTATCTTTAATGACAATACTCAAGTCTCAGCTGCTGCCATCTCATGCAAATCTAGCAACAGACTTCATCATTATTCTGCCTTTCTACCCCTGGAGTAGAGTAGACCTTTGCACTAGCCACATGTGTCTATTTAAATTTAGTTAAAAATGAGTTTCTCAGTTTCATAACCACATTTCAGGTTCACAATGGCCACAGGTGGCTATTGGCTATCAAACTGGACATCACAAAATAGAAGAATTTCATCCTCACAGAAAGTTCTATGGCACGGCACTGGTCTAGACACCTACCAAGCTCACTCCTACCTCCAGGGCTTCATACTCACTACTCTCTCTTCAAGAATGTTCTTCCCCCAGATTTATTTATTTAACCTCACAATTCAGGTTTCAGTTCAGATGAAGCTCCTCAGAGAAAACTTCTGAATTTAGATTGGACCACTCAGTCTGACTCATTAGAAAAGACCCTGAAGCTGGGAAAGATAGAGGGCAGGAGGAAAAGGGTACGACAGAGGATGAGATGATTGGATGGCATCATCAACTCAATGGACATGAGTTTGAGTAAATTCCAGGAGTTGGTGATGGACAGGGAAGCCTGGCGTGCTGCAGTCCACGGGGTCACAAACAGTTAGACACAATTGAGCAACTGAACAATAATTCAGTCTGAAACAGCTTCTCAACTGCCCCATCCCTGGACACTCTCCTTCCCGTTACTCTGGTTTGCTTTCTTTACAGCACTTATCACTATCTGAACTTGTTTCATTTCTGTTTCTACCCATAAAACATAAGCCCCCCCGCCAAAGAAAACATAAGTCCCATGAGAGCAGGACCATGTATGTTCACATCTGTATCCCCAGAAACTAGAATAATACCTGACACACAGAAACGTACAACAAATTGTTGAACAAAGTAGTAAATGAGTTAAGTATCCAACAACCAACATGTACTCCAACCCACTTACCTGTTATCATATCTTAAGAAAAATCATTTAATCTCTGAGCTTAATTTCTGTGTGTGTGTGTTATTCACTCAGTTGTCTCCAACTCTTTGTGACCCCATAGACTGTAGCCTGCCAGGTTCCCCTGTCCGGGGAGTTCTCCAGGCAAGAATACTGGAGTGGGTTGCCATTTCCTTCTCCAGAGACTCTTCCTGACCCAGGGATCGAACCTGGGTCTCCAGCATTGCAGGTGGATTCCTTACCATCTGAGCCACCAGGGAACTTAATTCTTAGTGTTATCATGAAGAATAAATAAATCAAAGACTACAATCTGCCTTGTAGAGAAACACCAGAAAGAAACTTGATGTGCAGTACAGAAACAAAAGTTCTACTGCTTGGATAATTTCCAAGTGCGGCTAACCCATTCCTGATTCCTTTAAAGTGAGTTAGGTGTTTCTGATATATGCTCCCACAATGCAACAAACCAGAATACAGCAGCATAGTTCTGGATAATAATTAAAAAAATAATAATTCTGTGGCCAGAACATTAACAATATCTCAATGATACTTAATATTTTAGTATCAATTATTAAGTGCTAACCACTGTGCTAAGCATATCATCTCATTTATTTCTCATGAAAATTTGAGGTAATATTATAGTCTCATCATACCCATTTTATGAATGAGAAAACTCAAACAGATTAAGTAACTCATTCAAGAAGACAGATCATAAATGTAGTGGCTGAGACTGGGAACCAGGTCTGATTCTGTAACCCAAACCTTTAACTACCAGAACATGCATCTTGCTTTTACAGTGGACAGCACAGAGCTACAATCAGCAATACTCTACTTTGCTTACTGCCTTCTGAACTTTTACTTATTAGCTACCTCTTTTTAGTGGCATAAAGAACTGAACATGGCTTGGGAATTCCCTGGATGTTCAGTGGTTAGGACTCGGCGCTTTTCTTGCTGGGGCCTAGGTTCAATTCCTGCTAAGGGATCTAAGATCCCACATGCTATGCAGCATGGTCAGGAAAAAAAAAAATGAATATGGCTTATTACTTCATTTCATTAATGCTAATGCTCTAAAATCCTTAAGACTAAACTTAGAAAAACTGTAACAGATCTGTCAATATATACAATCATGAAACATTTATTTCCTCCTCCTTTTATTTAAACAAAATTTGGAGACTCCAATAATACGATTGTTTTTTCTGTCTATGACACATGACAATATTCTAAACTTTTTCCATGATTTCCATAGCACTAGAATGAGGCAGACCCTCTCCCTCTTTTCTACTTGAAAAATAACTACTTAAGAATGTCCAAGAGGGTTTTAGTGCAGTATTTTACATTAGGTTTTGCCCTGTGGCAGAGAATTTTGAATTCTAATTCTAGTGGTGTTTAACCCACCACTACCTAGCAGTGGGACCCTGATCTAGCTACTACTCTCTCTGAACCTTTCTTCTCCTTTTCTTAAGGTGATTTCACTAAAGTATGCTATTAGGAAGATCCTTTTCATTTTCCACTGAGATTCTTTGATTCTTTTATAGATAACTGTACTTTCTTTGTACCCGATCACATCTGATAATCACATTTCCTTTATCTCTCTCTAAATTAGAGTCAGGATGACAAGAAATCATTAATTCTCAGTACAAACCTCCATCAAGGCTTCGGGATGCTCGTTTGCTTGCTGTGCGCTCAAAGTGTGGGGCAGGCCTGTCAATCAGAGCACTAGCTTGCCTGGTCTGAGCCTGAGTTCGGCCACTGTATCGGAATTTGGATCCCAGGGCAAGAAATTTGCTTTTAGGAATGGTGTCTGTAGATGTCAGTCTGGCGGGAAAAAAACATAATAATCATATATTATATACATTATCTTACTCTAACAAGACTGAAATTAAAGCCAAAATCAAGAATTAAAAAGTTTCATAACTCTCATAGTTTCCTTATAATTACTAAAACAAATTTCCAACCAAGTAATCATTATTTTAATTGTCATTCTCAAAGAAATATGTATAATTTATTTGTGGCCTTTATTAATGATACGGTAACCTTATATCACTCTAGGTTTTCAAAATGTTTTTATAGCACTGTACTATCATCACTGTCAGTTCAGTTGAGTTGTTCAGTCATGTCCGACTCTTTGCGACCCCATGGACCACAGCATGCTAGACTTGCCTGTCCATGACCAACTTCCGAAGCTTGCTCAAATCACGTCCACGGAGGCAGTCATGCCATCCAACCGTCTCATCCTCTGTCATTCCCTCCTCCTGCCTTCAATCTTTCCCACTGTCAGGATCTTTTCCAATGAGTCAGTTCCAGCATCAGGTGGCCAAAGTATTGGAGCTTCAGCATCAGTCTTTCCAATGAATATTCAGGACTGATTTCCGTTAGGATTGACTGGTTGGATCTCCTTGCAGTCCAAGGGACTCTCAAGAGTCTTCTCCAACACTACAGTTCAAAAGCATCAATTCTTTGGCACTCAGCTTTCTCTATAGTCCGGCTCTCACATCTATACATGACTACTGGAAAAACCATAGCTTTGACTAGATGGACCTTTGTCAGCAAAGTAACACCTCTGCTTTTTAACATGCTATCTAGGTTGGTCATAGCTTTTCTTCCAAAGAGCAACTGTCTTTTAATTTCAAGGCCGCAGTCACTATTGGCAGTGATCTTGGAGTACAAGAAAATAAAATCTGTCACTGTTTCCATTGTTTCCCATCTATTTGCCATAAAGTGATAGGACTGGATACCATGATCTTCATTTTTTGAACTTGAGTTTTAAGCCAGCTTTTTCACTCTCCTCTTTTACTTTCATCAAGAGGCTCTTTAGCTCTTCTTTGCTTTCTGCCGTAACAGTGGTGTCATCTGCATATCTGAGGTTATTGATATTTCTCGTGGCAGTCTTAATTCCAGCTTGTGCTTCATCCAGCCTGGAATTCCACGTATAAGCAGGGTGACAATATACAGCCGTGACATACTCCTTTTCCAGTTTGGAACCAGTCTGTTGTTCCATTTCTGGTTCTAACTGCTGCTTCTTGACCTGCATACAGATTTCTCAGGAGGCAGGTAAGGTGGTCTGGTATTCCCATCTCTTGAAGAATTATCACTATACCCCTGTAACATTTTCATCATTTTATATATAAAAGAAACTGAACCTCAAAAAAGGCTACTTGCTTAAGGTCACATAGCAGTTAAGAAATAGGGTAGTCACAGAATTCAAGCCCAGAGCTCTTGTTCTACTCTCCTAGAATAATAATTTTGTCAAACACACTCCAAACTCAATGCCTGGTAATCTATTTAATAGGTTTTTTGGTGTATTTTCAACTCAGAAACCTCACCTTCTTTCTACACAGTGCTCTCTGCTCTCTTTTGTCAGGGCATTCACTATACTGAATTGAAACAATCTGTGTACTAGTTTCCACTATGAGACTGTGAACTCTCCAAGGGTAAAGAATAAAGATCAACTTACTCATCTTTGTGTTTTCACTTTTGGCATAGTGCCTGGCATGAATCTGGCATTCAATGAATGTTTGCTGAATAAATGTATACATACATTGCTACATCAAATACTACCAAAAAGAGAGTCCCCATCCCCCAATTTGGGGTAGTTTATTTTAATTCAGCAAATACTTTCTTTTATGTAATGAAGCATTGTGTTTAGTCACAAGTTACGTCCAACTTTTTTGCAAACCCATGGATTGTAGCCCACCAGGCTCCTCTGTCCCCGGGATTTCCTCTGAAGAACACTGGAGTGGGTTGCTATTTTCTTTTCCAGGGAATCTTCTCTACCCAGGGACTGAACCTGAGTCTCCTGCATTGGCAGGAGGATTTTTTTACCACTGAGCCATCAGGGAAGCCCAGTGAAGCATTACATGTCAATATATCCTCTTATTTTGATGCAGTGGATATAAATATGCTATCCTACAAGTAAATACACTGGATGCAACTGAACTATACCATACATGTAACATTCAAAATAACTCTTTTTTGGTGGGGGGGATAAATTAGGAGTTTGGGATCAACATATACATACTACTATATTAAACAGACAACCAACAAGGATCTATTATATAGCACAGGGAATGATACTTGGTAGTCATTATAAAGGAAAAGAACCTGAAAATATATACATATAACTGAATCACTTTGCTGAACACTTGAAACTAACACAACATTGTATAGCAACTATAATTCAATTAAAATAAAAAATAAAAAAGTTCTTTTTATGCTTCCTCACCTTCATTTAAAACTATTTTCTTGGTTTTAAAGTAAACGATGGAAGCATAGAGAAATATCTTAATGTCAATAATTAAAATTTTTTTAATAATTAAGATTTTTTAATTGAGTGTAACATGTAGCCTGATGGTTTATTTGAAATGAGAACTGAAATGTTATTTTCCCTGACTTTTCTTTCTGTACACTGTTCTTTAGTGCTAAGTATGACATAAAAAAATACAAATAGAAGGAAAAGATATCATGGTTCTCTCTCTTGAGAGCCATTTATAAAGAGTCAAGTTTATTTATGAATGACATGGCATAAGGTCTGGCATTTGCTTCAAAATAATCTAGGAAGTAGTAGGAAAGAGTGGGTGGGGATACAGATGAAACAAGATTGGCATTGGGGTGATAATTATTGAAGCTGGGGTTTGGTACAAGGGGAGTTCATTATATTATTCTCTTCACTGTACTATACATGCAATTTTCATTTTCTTAAAAAGGCTAAATGACAACAACTAGTTGGCTTTCCTTTCAACACAAGTAATCATTTGTCTGCTAGATTTTAAGTTCCATTAGGACTGGGACTAGAACTACTAGTGGTTATTCCCAATGTCTATATGAAGGGTAAGCGCAAAGGAAATGCTTGGCAAATGAACAGAGGGGTTAAGTATGTGGCCTCAGGGAAAGCGAAGGAGATGAAACTTCCTTCTGTCTTCTGTTTATCTGATAACAATCAGGCTTCAAAGATGGTTCTCTGTGCTCCATTTCTGGGGCTGATTAGAACCAAGAAAATGATCAGCTTCAAATCTTTAATCTTCTAGAGTAACAGACCCACAGCAGGTAGTTAGGCAATTCCATGTGGAGGTCAGTCAGGGTACCTCTTCCTGGTAGGGCTGGATTTAGCCCCCTAGGGCAACCACAGAGCCTCTTGTAAACACAGGCTCCTATTCCTTTCTCCCTCCTTCTTCCACCATACATAGGAAGATGCTCTGGGAATGTGGAGGCCGTGTTTTTCAACCCGAAGGAGGAGAGCTAGATTCATTTTGTCTTGCTTACAATGATCTCACCTGAGCTAAAGAAAAGACTGCCAACCATACAAAGAAGGGAATTTCAACAGCAGGCTTAAAATAGAAACACGCATAAATAATTCATTCTTGAAAAATACTGAAGTGAGAACAATACCTGAAAAATGTGTGATGCTCTACACAGACTTTCCATAATTTCTTAGCTGCTCGGTAACTGGGAAGTTTGAATCCAATAGTACTTTCATACTGTTCTTGCTGTAAGTATACAAATAAGCATGGAACACAAAATATTATTCAACCGCAATGATACCGGACCAGAGAAAGACAGTGCTACAGAGGAGATCAGTGCAAATAAAAAGAATGTGACTAGTCTAAGGACATAAAATAGCACTTGAAATGTTTTCCTACTTAACAAAAGAAATTTATTCACTGAGAGTGGTTTTTCAGCTTATATTACTTACACATCTTATTTTGTTCAGAAACACACACGAATACATACACCATACATTTTCTGAGACATAAATAAGTCATGTTTTGATCATCCAGACACTGCTCTTCCTGCACTTAGGATACTAGGCTACCCAGTAATCAGGGACTAGGATAACAGATGATTCTTCCAATCAACCAATATTATTATGCAGTCATTTTTAGAAATAGGAACTAAAGATTGTGGTTCAAACCAGATTCTTGAATTATTAAATATCTTTTTTTTTCTTTGATTGATCGTTAATTTATCTAGATAACTTCTTTGACTGAAGCAAACCACATATTGCAGGGCTACTGGAAACACTGTCCTGCTTCTCTTGCCTCTCTGTTTCTGCCTTAAGCACGCTTTATACGATGGAAGGAAACTGACATTAACTTCTAGTGCCTATTATGGCCAATAGCACTGTGACTGGATAGTATCATCTGTATTTTTACACATGAGGAAACTCATGTGTAACTGAGATCAGAGAAGTTACTTGCTCAGTCTCACAGCTATTAAGTGGCAGAACCAGAATTTCATGGTTTCCCTTACACCACACTACTTCTAAATCATCTATTGTAGTCATAATATTACATTACACTTCTCAAAATCCTCCTGTTGTTCTTTATTGCTTTCTAAAGTAAGACTTTTGAATTTTTAGTGTATATTACATAGTTAACATTTAAATAAACAAAGGACTTCCCATCATGGGAAGTCCTTCCTATATATATATGGTGTGTTTTTTTTTTTCTGCCTTCCAACATAAAAAAGGTAAGCCTGCAGAGAGACAGACTCTTTTATTCACTGTTCCTAGCCCCTAGAATAGTGTCTAACACAAAGGATGCTATCAGAAAACATTTGTTGACTGGATGACTCTTGTATCTGGAACTCTAACGTTTGCTAGGCACAGGTAAATTATTATGGTCCTAAACAAATGCTTCAGCGATAATCCTTACCCAAAATTTTAAGGCTGCACATTCAGTATTTCCATGCTGAAACAATGAGTCATTTTTCACCAGTAGATGGTGATATACACACAGAAAAGCCTCTTTACATTAGTATGGTGCTTTTCTGTAGAGAGCTTTTATAGCTGTCATCTCATTTGATCTTCAAATCAACTTTGACAGATGAGGTACTATCCCCCTTGAGTGATAAAGAATGCCTGAGATCTATCAAGGGTCTTTTACTTAGTAGGTGGCAGAATAGGTATTGGAACTTTTTTTAATTTAACTCCTACTTGAACAAGTTTCTGCTATACCATGACAGTGCTTTAATATAAAAGTTAAACTTAGCCAGCATTGGTATATCCTGAAAATTGACTACCAACTAATAACTGAGTTATCTGGTACAAAGTTGAACATCCAACTCTACTACAAATCTAGAACTTGACCCTGGAACACATTTCCAGTCACTACCAGAAACTACACATACAAATAAATTTATTTATATAAGGTAAGGGATTTGTTGTGCAAAATATAAGCAATCTAACCTCACAGTTTAAATATCTCATGCTACTTAATTTAAAAATATTTTCCATCAAGTTTTTACCTAGAGTAAACAAGGAACAAGTTTATTAATCCAAATTTCACTTCTGGCCTTGGTGTATTTGCTTACATGAAGAGAACTGCCCAGAAAATCAACAACAGTAAAGGAAAGCAGCAGCAGCATGGGACTGGTTACTTTAGGAAACAAAATACCAGCGCCTAAATAGTTGGCTGGAGAGAGACCTCAGAGATGATAGCATGGAAAACAGGCATGAAGAGATGTTTTAGACACCATCTGTGTTTGATTCAGGAGGAAAGGGGATCACGAGCTCTGTATGTACCTCTCCAGGCCGAATCTTAATGAAAAAGCTGCTACGTTTGTAAGAAATCTTCAGCACTTTGGGCCAAGGAAAGCGGTTAATTCTCAGCTTTTCTTTGTAAACCAGAAGGCCACTAGAGCAGACACCTAGGATGATATCCACGCCCTCCAAGTCCTGAGGAAAAAGAGAATGTCAGTCTTGAGCCAAACGCTCAACACAGCCGACTAGTACTAGACAGTCTGAAGCTATCAACAACACAAAACAGTTACAAAGCACACATGGAAAAATAAAGCTGAACCTAACAACCATAACCCATGGAACTATTTGGTCTATGTCAAAATGTTGTTACTATACCACATTTTAAAAAATCAATGTTATTACCTGTCATAAGTATCTTTAGAATTCCAAATGAGACTCCTTAATTCTATTTCTATAATTTGCTCTAAGGAAATAACTCAAATCACAGAAAAAGCTTTACACATGATACTGTTCAGAATGTTTTAAGAGTGAAAAACTGTATATAACCTAAATATCCAAGCATTAGGGTTAAATTTTGTCCATCCATATAGTGAAATATCATGCAGCTATTAAAATAGACTAGAATTTGAAAGATAAATGGGAAAATAACTATGTTGTTAACATTAAGTGAAATAAAGCAGAAAAAAATTACATATGTAATTTGATTTCAACAATATAAAAGATTTTCATAGAAGAAAGATGTATACAGCAAAATGTTAATAATGCCATTCTTTAGGTGGTACAATTATGAGCAATTTTTTATTTTAGTTTTCTACACTTTAATTACAATAGACACGTATTGTCTTTTAAAAAGCATTCAAATGTCAAAAAACACACGTATGCACAAAATTCAAATAATGCAGAAATGCGTAAAATTTAAAAAATCTACTCTCGTCTTTCCATACTCTTTAACTATAACTAGTACTAATTTGATAATTTCCTGAATTATCCTATTTACTAAGCACATACAACTATGTGTGCATAATACATATATGTGTGCTGTGTGTGTGCCAAGTCACTTTAGTTGTGTCCCAACTCTTTGTGACCTTATTGACTGTAGGCTGCCAGGGTCCTCTGTCAAAGGATTCTCCTGGCAAGAACACTGGAGTGGGCTGCCATTTCCTTCTCCAGGGGATCTTCCCAACCCAGGGATCGAATCCACGTCTCTTATGCCTCCTGCATTGGCAGGTGGGTTCTTTAACACTAGCACCACATGGGAAACCCCAATATATACATACATACATATAAATATGTTCTTTATATATATATATATATCACCTTTATGATGAGGAAAACAACTAGAAAAAAATTAAAATTCAGTCCTTGAGGGTAGAAGCTATATCTAAATCATTTCTGTATCACCCCATACTGTTATTGACAATATGCTCAGTAAGTGTTTATATTGAGTTTGTTACCAGCCCATATTATTAATCACAACTGATTCAAGGAAAATAAATCTCACCTGAGTTCATCTCTACAGCTGACTATTTATTTAGATAAGTAATAAAAACCCGGCATTACATGCTTCTAAATGACTCCTTTCCCCAAAATGAGTACAGAGAAACAAATTAGTGTCTACATGTGCTATGTACAAGCACAATGGAGAGAAAAAGAAATAATATTCAGCTTCAACTCAATGACTACATAACACAATTTCTCAGAAGATGCCCTCTTAAGTTCTTAAAGCCTGTGGGTACAATTACATCCCTCTTTTAACTAGATGTTTTGAAAAAATCATTTGCTTTACAGCATTTGGCAAAGGAATATGCTGCCTGATTCCTCATGCATTCCTGATAACTACTGAATTGACATGAGCCTCCAGCAGAAATTGAGAAGCAAAACCTAACCAGTTCAGTTCTGGACCTGATCTGATCTTCCTACCATCTACTTTTGAGAGTCACAGAAGTTACAATACCCAGCCCCAAACAATCCAGAGCAACATCAAGAAAACTCACTAACATACAAAGGACTCTTCTTAGGGTTATTAAAAATCTAAATAAGGAAGAAGCTCCAGATATAGATATTCAGGTTGGGAGAAGATTGAAAGATCACTTTAGTCCAATTACCATAAAATGTTTGAAGGTTCTTTTCTAAATTGCTCCCAAGCGATTATTCTGCCTAACCTGGAATATCTCTGGAGAACTCTGTCCCTTCTGAGATAGCCCATCCCACCTTTGAAATAGTCTGTTAGACAAACTGTCCAGGTGAGCAGAGCAGTATCTCCCTGCAGCTTCCAGTTTACCTGCTCCAGTGTTACATTCTGGGGGCCCAGTAAAACCTCTGCTTTACACACTCATCCTTGAAATCCACAAAGACTGCTATTACATCTTCCCGAAACTTTCCCTTCTGTGGGTTAAGTATCCCTATTCTTTTGCCTGTTTCTCACTGGACATGGGTTTGATTCACCGTACATCCTAGTTAAATTTCTCTGAATGAACCTCCGATCACCCCTTGAGTTTTTTCCCTCACAAACTCCTCAACCTCCCCAGTCATTTCAGTAGCTGAAGATGAGAGAAGTCAAGCGACATCCTGCCATTATTCATTGTGTTAGACAGCCTTGGGTTGAATGGGGATGAAAGCTCAAGTTTCCAATTACCTAACCCAGTGGTTCTCAAGTGAGCTATTTGTGTTCCTCCTGTGTGCATCAGAATCACCTGGAGAGCTTGTTAAAACAGATAGCTGGGCCCTACCCACAGAGTTTCTGATTCAGTAACTCTGGGATGGGAACTGAGATGAGCATTTCAAACAAGTTCCTAGACAACGCTAAATGCTGGTTCAAAGACCACACGTTGTGAACTGTTGCCTTATACCAGTGATCCTCAGATTCAAGCATGAAGGAGAATCATTTGGGATATTCATTAAATCTGGAGACTAAGCCTCTCCTCCACAGTCAGTCAGTATATCTGGGAGGAGCTCAGGAATCTGTATATTTAACAAATACCCCAGGTGATTCTGAGGTAGGTGACTGGCTACGAAACAAGCCTTACTGTCACACTGCATTTGCAAATGTATCTGCATCTTAGGAAGTTATCATTTCTTCTGCTCTTGGCACTGTATCTTTTGATCCTTACAGTTGCTTAGGTGTGAAACCTCGTTCTGTTGGTGGAATTGCAAACAGGCAATTCAATTCATACACTTAATACACTTGACTGTTCAACTGACAGACAACATTCTAACAAGAATTACTATCTCCTCTGAATGTTTTATAATACCCTAGGTAAAGGTTGGTACAGTGTATTATATGATACAGGTCTGATACATGCATATTAATAAGTTACCACTACCTTTGCTTTATGAAGGTCAACACCATACATAGACAACTTTTTGGCATTCTCAAGAAATTCCAGGTCAGCCTGAGCTGGAGTCATGGACCTTTGATAGAAGAAAAAAAAAAAAAATTTCAGTGTCACAGTGTCAATATTTAAAAGAATAGCATTTGTATATCACTTTTACTTTACATAAACATATAAGTGTATACATACCAATAGGTATATAGATGTATTTCATGGTCCTAAAAGTAGAATATTATGTGTGGAAAAGGACTCTTATCACTACCTGTGTCTAAATAATTGAAATATGCCTTAGAAAAAGAGCTCTTGGAGAAATAAAAAGTTACCAAGAAGCTATTAGAAGAAAAAATTTTTTTAAATCCTAAAATTCTTTAAAACTGCCTAATCTACCATCAGTTCTGCTCCTCCCTCTTCTTAGCCCTTTTCTTCAACACACATAAACTCCTCCCACTAATTTATCTTGCCAAGGAGGTGACCAAATTAAATCCTCTGAGGGCATGATACAGTTTACAATATCCTCTTAGCTGCCCCTTTCTCTCCATATCCCTGAATTGAGTTATTATGGAAATTAAACAGGAGGGCAGCTGAAGTTGCTTAACTGGGGATTCTTAATGGGGACAGACTTGATGAAAAGAAAATTTCTGGTAACAGATGGTGTCCTGCCCACTGATCTAAACAAAATAAACTGGTTAATAGGAGCATGTAGATAAAAGGGCTGCCTCTGTTATTAAGATATCTTCATTACAAAGCAGATAATGAATTAAATTTGTTTGAAAACAATCAGCCTCATAGTCTAAACACTTACTATGACAGTCTTTCCTCCTCCTTTATAATTTTCTTCTTTTTTGAAAAGTGCTCATGAGCTAGGCTGAGCTTTAAAGAAAAAGACACTACTCCTAGTGCTGCACAATTCAGAACAAATCAAATAGAACTTCATAGTAACAATAATGCGGCCACACCCCCAAAGAAAAACCACGGTAAATGCCTGTTTCCCAAAAGACTGCCTGCCTCAAGCTATAAAAAAGCAGCGGTGACCTATTCATTTAACAAGAGAAAGTTTCTTTCAAAACCATCTGTCTTTATCCTCATTAAAAAGAACAAAGGACGACTTCCCTGGTGGTTCAGTGGTTAAGACACCATGCTTCCAATGCAGGGGGTGTGAGTTTGATCCCTGGTTGGGGACCTAAGATCCCACATGCTGCCTGGTGCAGCCAAAAAATAACAGAAGGGTCCTTGGAATAACAAGCCCCCACCCCAATTAAAAAAAAAAAAACCTCAGGAAAGAAACTGCATACTTGTTAATGACTCCTGGCACCCCTGAATAAAAACTTCTTCCTGCAAGTGCCAAAATATCACACCTGAATACTACTAATGACTAAAACTGAACACACAAAAAAAATGGGAAAATAAGCACTTGAACAAGCAATTCTGCATGTTCAAGTCATTAAGACCATCTCAGGAAAGTTTTATAGTCTTCTTCTCTCACTTTAATTATATATGTTTCTAGTTCAGGTTACTCCCATATTCTAGATTTGGGGTATTTTGTTCTTGTTGTTAGTATTACTGAGAGCTTGAAGTTTAGAATTTGAAGCTGGAATGGAGTTGGAAGATTATAGAGTCCAACACTTCCATTTTGCTGATAAAGAAACAGGGCTCAAGGGATTACATGATCATGGGCAAGTTATGACTCTTAGTTTAAGGCAGCAGGCTTTAGCCAGGACCCAAGTCACATCATTAGAGCTGGCTCCTGCATTTAAGAGTATGACATCAATCTCCTATAAAGTAAGAACTGTAATAATACCTACTTCCTGAGGCTAGTGTAAGAAATGATTTCTTCTTTTTTAATCTTTGGATGTAGCTGGAGTGTGTGTGTGTGTACTAATATTTACATGTCTATCTATCTATCCATCCACCCATCCATCGAAAACAGTTTTTGCTGAAACTTGCAGTTTTAACGCAATACCATAGGAGTCATTTTAGTTTCCTTCTCACTGTAATTTCTATCTCCCTTTACTGACAGTCAGAAACTTGACTCCCATTATCCTTAATACACTAATCTAATCAAACCCCCCCACCCCCGCTCCCTACCAATTGGTTATTGGTACATAACCAATCTCTACTTCCTGCCACTGACTCCTCCCTGACATGGATGCCCTCTTCACTGGCTTAGACTCTGAATTCCCCATGCTAGGCTGCTCCCCACACGTGTCCTCCTTACCTCACTCAGATTCTGACCCCTGGCGCTAGGCTACCCCTTCCACAGACATCTTCTTCACCTGCTCAGGCTTCAACACCTGTATCAGGTACGACCTCATGTGGATGTCCTCTGCGGGCTTTACTCCTACATGGATGCCCTTCTCACTCTGTCCTGCCTCTGATAACCACAACCACGTGCCCCCCTGTGACTCCCCTTTCATCCTATTTGAGCTCTGACTTCTCCTGCAAGGCTGGCCCCCTGCAACGAACACTCTCCTCACCCTATTTAGGCCCCAGTATCCCCAACCAGGCTGTCTCCCAGCATGGATGACTATCTTGCTCTATCCCACCTTATGGCTTTAGAACACAATTGCTTCAGGAAACTTTTTCTGATTATAAAAATCTACATTCATTGTATAAAATTTGGAAAATATCGTTAAGAGCATAGAAAAAAAAAAAAAGAACAAAGTTTCCCATAATCCCACCAACCACAGGTGCCTGTGCATGTAAATGCAATCATATTTTACAAATAAACCACCAATTAAACTGAATTATTTTCAAGTTAACATTTTAAAGATTATGGTTTTTCCAAGACTCTTGAAAGTAGTAACAATCTAGCTAGGAAGAGATTAGACAGCTCTAAATTATTAGGAGTACTGTTTTGAATTTATTCAGTATGACTTAATAATTTACTATTTGAAATTACTGCACCTTACAAGAAGTACCTAACCAGAAGGATTTGGCACAGGTTATTTTTTGCTCATTAAACAGAAAAGTTATAACAAAGTTTCCCTGTATTTATTTTGAGCAAACAGAGTCAGGATACAGAGCCACTCAGAGAGTTCCAGCGTTAAGTAACAGACTTTTTCCTTCTTTTTTAAATGGGAAAAGCTTTATTCAGGAAGCCAGCGACCTGGGGAGACAGTGGATTAATGTCCTAAAATCATCTCCACATTGCCCATTAGGAGACAGAGGTTTTCAAGGCATTGTGAGGGAGGTGGCTACAGGCTGCATGATCAGCTCGTGCACAATTCTCAGGTTGGCTGGCATAAAGGCAAAGTTTCAAGCATTACCCATCTTCTGGATTTCAACCAATTTGGGGTCCACATGCTTGCAAGTCAACAGTTTTCATTTGTTGGGGGATGTGACAGCCTTTTAATAACATTGTTGCATCTCCAAATTAAAGACTGAGGTTTCAAATAATTACATAGCTGACAACTGACAACTTTACATTACTTTCCTAGTCCCCATAAATGGAGGACAATTAGTTTTAAACCTTGATTTGCTAGTGTAAGTTTAATGTGAATTATAGCTTCACAGTTTCTGTCTAGGCAAATAAAGGGCCACTACTAAAGATTCCATGTATGTAGGCTTTCTTCTATTTATCTGAGGAATGGGACCAATGCATAGTAAATGCTTCTGCCTTAGCAGAAGTCTCTTTGGACTGGTTAAAATGTCACATTCTTGGGACATAATTAAAATTCCCATTTGACTTTCTGTTTATGAGGACTGCCAATCTTTCCAAAAAGGAGCAAGTAAATTCCAAGATGACAGACCTCTAAATTTTCTAATCATGGAGATACATTACTGTTCAATTTCTATCCATACACCTCACAGAACATCAACTGGAACATATCCATCTGTCCTCTGAGATTGTTTCACCTATTTGGATTTAAAGTCAGTTCCCAAGGGCAGTTCTCTAAACCCAGACTCACCCTTATTACTGGCAAAATGGAATAAGAATTATTATTATCCTAACCAATATTGGGAATTTTACTATATACTAATCATTGTGCAAAGCACTTCACATGAATTTCTGATTAAACAATCACAAAACTCACAGTATCATCCTTTTGTTTCAGATGAAAAAACGGAAACTTGGAGAGCTTAAGTAAATAGTATGCATGTGTGCTACAGTCGCTTCAGTTGTGTCCAACTCTTTTCGATACTGTAGACTGTAACCCACCAGGCTCCTCTGTCCAGGGGATTTTCCAGGCAAGAGTACTGGGAGTGGGTTGCCATGCTCTCCTCCAGGGGATCTTCCCAACTCAGGGACTGAACCTGGATCTCCTGCATTTCAGGCAGTTCTTTACCATCTAAACCACCAGGGAAGCCTGGGAAGCCCTTAAGTAACTTACTAAGGATCATAAAGCTAATAAGGAATGGAGACTGAATTCAAAGTAAGACAGGCTGACTCCAGAGCCCAGGCTTTTGCCTTAGTGCCTAGCTCAGTGGTTCTCAAAATTTTGACCTCAGGATCCCTTCCCTCTCAATAATTACTGAGGACTCTAAAGAGCTTTTATTAAATGCGGGTTATTTCTATCAATATTTACTATAACAGAAGGTAAAACTAATACAATTTGAAACTACTGATTAAATCTTTAAAGAATAACAATAAAAAACTCATATTTTAACAATTTTTTAAAAAAAATAACAGCATTTTCCCAAACTGTTGTAAAGGAGTGGCATTGTTTTCCATATTTATAAAATTTTTTTAATGTGTGACTTAGAAGACAGCTGGATTCTCCTGTCTTCTAACTACTTCTGAATTCAACCTGTTGCAATATTTGAATTTGGTTGTAGTATAAGAAGAAACCTGAGCTCATACAGATATGTAGTTGGAAAATGAATTGATGATTAAAAATATTCTTCTTTGATACTTACTACACTAAAACTCAACAATGGCAGTTTCCTAAGGGGGTTTCCAATGTGAAATCTGAAGACATAATGGTGAACTTTTGTAACCTGTTATATTAAAATCCATTGGCCTATCTTGCATTTCGAATGGACCTTTTATAGTTATGCATGATTTTGTAACATCATGCATTTCATATCTGAAAAATATTTGTTGACTGAATAATCCAAGTCCTTCAAATGCTAACACATTTCATTGTACAGTATTAAAAGAAGAGAATCACATGCATTAAAGTCATCACCAACTCTATCAGAAAAGTCTTTTAAGTATTTGGAGCCTATCAAGACCATGATGGCAAATAGAAGTTTTACAAAATTCTGATTTTCTCTTAAAAGCTTGAATTTTCTCATTAGCAACAGACAGTCAGTTGTTTACCAACCCTTAAAGGACTGGCTCATTTCATTTTTTCGAGAAAATGTATGCCAAACAACCAAATCTAAATAATCATAGTCATTAATCATAGTTATTTTTTCAAGTGGAAAAGGTGCTGCATTAAAAAAAAGTGACTAATTCAGCTGAGAACGTAAAACAATTATACAAGTGTTTTTCCTCAAGATAACTGTTGTACCTCAGTATGCAGTACAAGTGCTTTCTGGGTACTTCCTATTAAATCACACAGAATATTAAGCAGAATGTATTTAAGATTTAAAAGAATCAATACTTTTTACTATTCATCATGAAAATTTTTAAGTGAACAAGCAGATTTTAAAATATTTCATCTTTTAACTGCAAGTTAAAAAATAAAAGTGCATCCTAGTGAAGCATATAAAGACTAGTAGTACAGTTTGGTGCCAACTGCCTTGATTTGTGCTCCACCATTTCAACAAAGGGCTTCCCAGGTGGTGCAGTGGTAAAGAATCTACCTGCCAATACAGAAGACACAGGAGACACAGGTTTAATCCCTGGGTCAGGAATATCCCCTGGAGTAGGAAATGGCAACCCATTCTTGTCTGGAAAATTCCACGGACAGAGGAGCATGGCAGGCTACAGGCCATAGGGTCACAAAGAGTCAGACATGACTGAAGTGACTGAGCGCACACGGCTTAATTCAAAGGGTGGTTATAAAGATTAAATATGATATTATACATAAAGTGCTTAGCATGGTATCTGGCACATAATAACAGACACATAATAATTAGCTGCTTAGGTTATGATGATGATTATGTTAACAATGCATAAAGGAGAATCAAACATTGCATGAAATTTAGACTGCAAAGTCCTCCCAAACCTGAAATTCTATTGTGATCAAATACACATTGAAATCATCAGACAGAAGTAAGGCACCAATCATAATCCAACACCACTATTTTCTGCTGTTGTGCTCCACAGCAGCAGTAAAATATTTTCTTTTACCATTTTATTGATTGCTCAAAGATTATACTACTGATAATAAAAATTATTTTTAAATTATTAGATAAAAAGAACACTCCCCTACAATCCTGACATTCTAACAAATAATTTTAATTGTTTCTTTCTACCACTTACTTTTGTGTACATGTATTTGTGTGTGTGATTACATATTTTACATACATATATATAAATTTCTAGAATTATAATCAGAATATAAATAAGTATCTTAAACACATATTTTGGGCTTCCCTGGTGGCTCAGCAGTAAAGAATCCACCTACATACAAGGCAGAAGACACGGGCTAAGTCCCCAGGTTGGGAAAATCTCCCGGAGAAGGGAATGGCTACCCACTACAGTATTCTTTCCTGGGAAATCTCATGGACAGAGGAATCTGGCAGGCTATAGTCCATGGGAGTCGCAAGAGTTGGATATGATGTAGTGACTAAACTGCCATCACCAAACACGTATTTAAGGACAATACAACATCCTTTAAGTTAGAATCATCAACTAGTTAAAAGTGATTCATTAGTGGTCTTAGATATCAGAGCATTGTAATGTATATACCCAAACTTGAAAAACAAACCTTGGCAATTCTCTGTAGAAACAGCGTGATCTCATCAGAGTGGGGTGATTGTAATAAAACTACTGTTACATAGATGGAAGACTCTAAAGTTCTTATTATGGTTCTCATGACTGAGAGACTGGAGCCTACAGCGGGAATAAGGCAACTAGAACTGGGGGACCTTGAGTTAACACTCTCTTATTTGAAGCATCTGAATCCATGCAATCCTATTGGAACCACTCTAAGGAAAAGAAGATGGTTCATGCACCCCAATGTTCATCGCAGCACTGTTTATAATAGCCAGGACATGGAAGCAACCTAGATGCCCATCAGCAGACGAATGGATGAGGAAGCTGTGGTACATATACACCATGGAATATTACTCAGCCATTAAAAATAATTCATTTGAATCAGTTCTAGTGAGATGGATGAAACTGGAGCCCATTATACAGAGTGAAGTAGGCCAGAAGGATAGAGACCATTACAGTATACTAACACATATATGTGGAATTTAGCAAGATGGTAACGATGACCCTATATGCAAAACAGAAGAAGAGACTCCGATGTATAGAACAGACTTGTGGACTCTGGGAGAAGGCGAGGGTGGGATGTTTCAAGAGAACAGCATCGAAACACGTATATTATCTAGGGTGAAACAGATCACCAGCCCAGGTTGGGTGCATGAGACGGGTGCTCGGGCCTGGTGCACTGGGAAGACCCAGAGGGATCGGGTGGAGAGGGAGGTGGGAGGGGGGACCGGGATGGGGAATGCATGTAAATCCATGGCTGATTCATTTCAATGTATGACAAAAACCACTGCAATGATGTAAAGTAATTAGCCTCCAACTAATAAAAATAAATGAAAAATTTAAAAAAAAAAAAAAAAAGAAGATGGTTCAACAGCTAGATAGACTACTGTACGACCACTCAGGATTTCTCAGCAGTGTGACCTTCTGGGGCATCCTAGCCTAATTCATGCTAACATAATTCAAGGTGCCAACTCAAGGCCAGGATCAGACATTCTCCTTGAAATCCCTAGGCAGCTTATAAAATTTAACTCGGAGAAGTCACTCAAATAATAATAGGATATATGGTAGGAATAAACACATTTTTCTGGGACCTTAATATTAGCTAATGTTTATTAAATTTTTACTATGTGTAAGATATTGTATTAAGTTTTTACACCTAGAACCTTTTCTAATCCTATGGATCACCCTATTTCCTCTGAGGTAATCATCTCTATCAGACATATAAGGAATCTGAGGTTCAGAGAGATTAAGTGAATTACCTGAGGTCACAAGGTTAGGACCAAGCAGAACAAGAATTCAACCCCAGAGGGATTGGGTGGAGAGGGAGGTGGGAGGGGGGACCGGGATGGGGAATACATGTAAAAAAAATAAAAATAAAAATAAAATAAAATAAAATACTTACCAAAAAAAAAAAAGTATAAAGACAAACACAGAATAAAGGTAAAAAGATAGAAAAAAAAAAAAAAAAGAATTCAACCCAGCTCAGTCTGACTAAAGCCCTTGTTCTTGATCACTGTGTTATACCTCTCACATTACCAATTATTTTCGTGAAAAAAGAAAAAAATAGTGAATTCAAGAAAGAATTTAAAAATATCTTCATGGGTTTTATGAGCCCTCTTAAGTCTATTCTCGCAAAAAGACCCCAAGTTAAGAACCTCTGCTCTAAAGATCTCAAGGTATCTAATACAGTATAATATATTTAAATCTAAAAAACAAACAAAAAAAAAAGGTAAAAGGCAATAGTAATAATAGCTTCTATTTATTGAGCACCTATTATGTGCCAGACACTCTGCTTAGTGCTTTACATATATTACCTCATTTAGTTTTCATCCAACAATGCAGCACCCATTACTCTGAAAACTTAGGTTCAGAAGGCTTAGAATCCCAAAGAACTGGGAGGGAACTGAGCTCGAGCTGACTCTTTCTATGTCACCAGTTCCCATGGAGGCGAACACTAAAATCATCCCAGGATAAATCAAGGATTTATACTTATTGTCAAAGTAAAGACAGACCAAACCCTGGAGACATATTTACCTGTATGACTTATGCAGTTCCATGACCTTCTCTTCAAGTTCCTTGGTCTGATTTGGGGCCAGTTTAAAATCACTAACATAATCTGTGCCATGGAGTTCTGGGTCATAGTCTCCCAGCTCAGACTGGATAGTGTAAGAGCCTAGTAACGCTAAGGTTGCAAAGGAACATGGCAGACGTCCTGACACTATGTCCTGCCGAAGCTGAAGACATAGGTAATACCTATAGCCAAAAGAGAAAAGACGTTACTATGTCGGCCACGGAAACAATAACAAAATATAGAGAGAGAAAAAGGAAGAAAATGGGAAAGACAGGGAGGGAGGAAGGAAAAGAGCGACTAAGTAAATATGAGTTAATATTAACAACTGTTCAATCTAAGCAGAAGGTATATGGTTGTTCATTGTACTGTTTCAGTGTCAGATAGCCCGAACTGCGTTCTTCCAATTTAATCATACCTTCCAGTTTTCCTGTTTGGTAAAAGAGTCTGAATTGGTTAACTCAGTCAGAACAAGGGCTAAGGAGGTCAGGGCCATGATTAATTAGAATCATATCTTGGCTTTGACTATAAGAAGATATTGAATAACATATGCACCAGCAACCATTTTTGCTGTCTATGATTAGTCACTACATATATGTCTTTTAAAAAGTCAGAGCAATGCCAATCAAATCGTAAGAATCTTCAACTCCTCTAAAACATAGGTAGTTAGTACAGAATTTTAGGGATTTGTTATTTGTATATATAATAAACCTTAACAAAGAAAAATGCTGCTGCTGCTGCTAAGTCGCTTCAGTCATGTCCGACTCTGTGTGACCCCATAGACAGCAGCTCACAGGCTCCCCCATCCCTGGGATTCTCAAGGCAAGAACACTGGAGTGGGTTGCCACTTCCTTCTCCAATGTGTGAAAGTGACAAGTGAAAGTGAAGTCGCTCAGTCGAGTCTGACTAGTAGCGACCCAATGGACTGCAGCCTACCAGGCTCCCCCGTCCATGGGATTTTCCAGGCAAGAGTACTGGAGTGGGGTGCCATTGCCTTCTCCGAAAGAAAGATGAGTAAGTAACAACTCTAAGAGAAAGTATTACTTGTGAAAAAGAAATAACCAAGATAATTTTTTCAGGCAGAAATATGGCATCTCAACTTCAAGAATGTACTAAGAATAACTAGATAACTTTTTTAATGGTATAGGCACTTCACAGTACTTAACAACCAGACTTTTTAGGAGTCTTAGGTTATTCTCTTATTTGAGAGACTATATTTGTCTGAAATCAGATAGTTGACAGCAAAATCAGAATTAGAAAGTAGTTTCTCAACAACAATTCGATTGAACAAACATTTGCCAAATACCTACTATGTACATATAAGGCTCTACGTAAGATGCTATGAATAGAAATACGTACTATAGTACTTTTTATTAGATACTGTTTTTCCATTTTCCCTTTTTGCTAATATTTACATAGAATCCAATAAAGTACACTTTCTTAAAAGGAATCAGTAAGCTGTTTTTAAAGAGATTTATTTCATAAATAAATTTTTATTTACAAAATTTATTTTTTATAAATTAAGCAGGCTCAAAAATTACTGAGAAAGATTCAGTTCACATACCTAATCCTACAATTTAAAAGAGGAATAGGAAGAAAAAATAAGAAAACTGAGACTTTAGCTTTTTTGATCCCTTAAGAAAGAACATCACAAGAGAAGAGTATTTAAAACAAAAAACAGGAGAGCTATTTGCCGCTCTGTTTGTGTCCTATTCTTTGGAGGATGGTATGATTTAGAGAGTCCCTGTCCACAGCATGGCATAATATCCTTGATAAGCAAGGTAAATTCCCCACCAATTTCCTCCAGGTGAGTCACAGATATTTGAGGTTTTTAGGCTCACTTATTTGTAAGCCTGCCTTGAAGTAACTAGAAACTTTTTATGTTAGGTTTAATAATTCTTTAATTCTGAATGAAGAACTCCCCCGACCTTATGATAATGAAATTACTTATTACATATTTAACTTAATACATTATTTACCTTGTTATATCTTCTGTTAACTGTGCTGGGTCAGGTGGGTAAAACTTTACATTAAATGTGAAATTCCAAGGGACACCTGTAAAAAATAAAGAATTTTATACTTATGTCCAAGCTTCTGGTTGTTAGAATTACCTAAAGACATTTTTTTTAATCTTTTTTTCCCCTGAGGTCTTCTAATATTGATACTTTTTTGCTCTGTGGATAAAATACTACCTTTATTTAAAAAGAAAGTTGTTTAGAGACCATCTAAGAGATTATCTCATTTTTTATTACCACACTTAATAGTTTTGCTTATAAAACAATATAAGCAAAATAACATGAAACTATCCTCTAGGCCAACATGTTTGTAGCAATGGTTTTCAAAATGTGATCTATATAACACTCTGGGCCCTTAAAAGTTCTTCAAGTGATTCATGGATGTTTCCTTTTGGTATTGGCATTACTTATTGGTGACATCTCTCAACATTATGTCAAATAAACAAAAACATTCTTCCCATTCATATGGGTGAGATTAGGAGATTACTTTAGAAAGAAGAAGGAAGAGGCAATATATGTGGCTCTTAGAAACTATAGTTCTAATAAAATATTTTGGGTATGAAAACTACAAGAGTTCAATCCTAAAACTCATACACAATGAAAATCAGGGGTTATGAGTAAAAATTAAGTGGAGAATGCATTTCAATTTCTCCAGCTATATGCTGCCAGTTCCAGGTTTTTTAACATGACTGTTAGTTTCCCAAATGGTAGTGACTGATCTTAGGTTGATTGGTTATGATGCTAAGAGATGCATTTTGTTCAGTAGTGACTGCGTTACCAGGCACTAAGCTAGCTCTCTCATATAAAGGTAGGCACTACTATCGGTTCATTTTATTCACGAGGAAACAGAGGCTTAATAAAATGCACAGCTAGTGAATCCAGGGCTCTCTTCCTCCAAACCCCATGCCTTTAGCCACTGGACTCTATGCCCTGTAACATACATGCTTCAAGCGTTGTTCTGTTTTACATCCATAGTATCTAATCTCCAAATATCATTCTTATTACTACTGGTTGCAATGACAAAATGCAAATTACAACCTGAAGTAGTTTGAATGTCTTAATGAATCTGTGGTTTTAAACATCTGAAACATTTAATACAAGAGTCTCTTGGAAATGGTTGAAATCTTCCTTCAAAAATTGAGTTAAAAGGCAAATTCCAGACAGTACAATAAACCTGTCTCAAATCTAGTCACTCTTAATGTCTACCATCAGCTCACTTTTAATGCTTCATATCCCCAAAACTTTAAATGGAACTTAGATAGAAAAGCAACCACATAAGTATTTCTCATAAAAGGGGCAAATGGATAGGGGGGTAGTATTTACAGTTCAAATATTGTAAAACATTATCTATTGTTTCATTTTCTGATATGATAAAAATATCAACCTAATCACTGTTAACTCATAATTCCCATATAGGCTTTAAAAAAAGGTGACTTCTATGCTACCTATAAAAAAAAAATGTACTGGCTAAAACAAAGCAATATGGGAAACAAGACAGCTAAAAGAATGTTCAATAAATGTGAATTCAGCATTTAAGAACTTTAAACATAAATTTAGTTATTTCATAACATATAAATGGCATTTTTTTAACAGGGTAGGAAGACTAACATTAAGGAAAGCAAATAAGCAATAGTCTACAATGTGTAATTTTTTTTCCCCTCTTTGAGCTAACTGATATAAAAAGCTTGATATCACCCACGGTTGGCAGGGGAAATAAGTACTTTCTTCTATTGCTGATGTGAATATAAAATGGTACAACACCGCAGAGAACAACTGACAATGTCTATCAAAATGTAAAATGTATAGACCCTTTTACCCAGCAGTTCCACTTCCATAAATGTATCTAAACACACTTAAAAGTGGTCAAGTGATACATGTATAAGACATTGTTTGTAACAGCAAATGTCTGGAAACAACCTAAATCTATTTATTCAGCAAGAAAAGATACATCACCATTACAGACTGTTGAGTGAAAAAAAGAATCAAGGCAAAGAACAGTACATATAGAAAGCAACTGTAAAAGCTGGGGGTAGAAAAAAGTATATATTACAGGAATGATTATCTAGGCAAAGACTGTCCCTATAAGGATACACAGTAAACCAGGTATAGTAGCTACAAAACTAGAAAGGGGATCTCCTGGGGAGAGAAACTGACAGGTGAGGGGGAAGTGGTAAGACAGAGACCCATTTTCACTATACCCTCTTTTACACCATGTGAACACACTTTGTGTGTGTGTGCACGCACACACAGTTTCTAAAGGATAATCTTTGTCTCCCACTATAAAGGAAATTCCTGAAGGTAAGATTTTTTTTTTTCTGTTTTATATATGGTATATACCCCGAGCACCTATAACAGTGCTTGGCATATCACAGATGCTCAAGAAGTCTTTGTTGAGTGAACAAATGACATAAAGTAACTGATCTCACAGCTTTGTTGTGAAGGTCATATGAGAATGCTGCTGCTGCTGTTCAGTTGCTAAGTTGTGTCCGACTCTTTGTGACCCCCAGGGACTGCAGTTTGCCAGGTTCCTCTGTCCTTCACTATCTCCCGGAGTGTGCTCAAATTCATGCCCATAAAGTCAGCGATGCTATCTAACCATCTCATCCTCTGTCACCCTCTTCTCCTTTTGCCTTCAATTTGTCCCAGAAACAGGATGTTTTCCAATGAGTCAGTTGTTTGCATCAGGTGGCCAAAGTACTGGAGCTTCATCAGGACCGATTTCCTTTAGGATTGACTGGTTTGATATCCTTGCTGTCCAAGGGACTCTCAAGAGTCTTCTCCAGCACCACAATTTGAAAGCATCAATTCTTCGGCACTCAGCTTTCTTTATGGTCCAACTCTCTCATCTGTACATGACTACTGGAAAAACCATCGCTTTGACTATAAAGACCTTTGTTGGCAAAGTGATGTCCCTGCTTTTTTTTTTTTTTTTGGGAATCAAACCATTTTATTGAGGGGCTTCGGAGGAAGATCGAAAAGCTGGGAGGACAATGACATCCGACGTCCTTCTCCGAGCCATCTGCTCAGCTCTTCAGCTGCTGAAAGGTGTCCCTGCTTTTTAATATGCTGTCTAGGTTTGTTAAGCCTTTTCTTCCAAGGAGCATGTGTCTTTTAATTTCGTGGGTGCAATCACCATACCCAGTGCTTCTAGAGCCCAGGAAAAGAAAATCTACGGCTGCTTCCACTTTTTCTCCTTCTATTTGCCATGAAGTAATGGGACTGGATACCATGATCTTAGTTTTCTGATTGCTGAGTTTCAAGCCAGTTTTTTCACTCTCCTCTTTCATCCTCATCAAGAGGCTCTTTAGTTTCTCTTCACTTTCTGCCATTAGAATGGTGTCATCTGCATATCTGAGGTTGTTGGTATTTCTCCTGGCAATCTTGATTCCAGCTTGTGATTCATCCAGCCTGATATTTCACATGATATATTCTGCTTATAAGTTAAATAAGCAGGGTGACAATATACAGCCTTGTTGTACTCCTTTCACAATTTTGAACTAGAAAAAATTGGAGACTGGAAAAGCTCTAATATTTTTTAACACTAAAATTTTTGCCTTCTACCTCAGCAAAACTTTAATGATGTTCCTGACAGAAGTACATAACCTGAAGATTCATATACCATGAGGAAACATCAGACAAACTCAAAGTGACCACTCACAAAATAACTAGTCTGGACTTTGCAAAACTATCAATGTTATGAAATATTTTAAAGACTAAGGAATTGTTTCAGATTAAAGAAAACTAGAGCAATGTGATAACTGAATGCAAAGCATCACCTTGCACTTTTGCTATAAAGAATATTATTGACACAACTAACAAACATAGTATTGTTTCAATGCTAACTTCCAGCTTTTAGTAATTGAATTACGGCTATGTGAGAAAAATCCTAGCTTTTAGGATAAGCAAACTGAAGTATTTAGGGGTAGAAAGCTATTGCAACAGCAATTTACTGTTTTTTCTTTTTAACTGAAGTAGAATTCACATAATATTAACCATTTCAAAGTATACTATTTAGTACATTTAATGATACAATTCATTGGCATTTAGTATATTCACAATGTTGTATAACCATCACCTCTATTTCAAAACGTTTTCATCACCCACAAAGGAGAATCTGTACCCATTAAGCCTTGCCACCCTCCTCCGAGCCCCTGGAAACCTCTAGTCTGCTTTCTGTCTCTATGGATCTACACTTCATATGAATGGAATCAAACAATATGTGGCCTTTTATGTCCGGTTTCTCCCATTTAGCATCATGTTTGAAGCTTATCTATGCTGCAGCATGTATCAGTGTTCCATTCCTTTTCAAGAATAAATAATATTCCATAGTATATATGGAATATATATAACATTTTTTATCCATCATCCATTGGTGGACATTTGGGGTTTTTTCCCCTTTTTGCTATTGTGAATAGTGCTGCTATGATGCAACTTACTCTTAACTGGTTCAGAAAAAATGTCATGTGTGTGTATAAGTAAAGAGAAAAAAAAGATAAAATGAATGTAGTAAAATACCAACATCTGAGGAATCAAATGTATTCCTGAAGGGTATTGAGGAGTTCTCTGTACCACTCTTTCAACTTTTAAGTCTGAAATTATATCCAAACATTTTAATTTCTGCCTTCTAAGTACACAGGAAAACAGGAACTATCTCATACACTATTGGTGGAGATGTAAACTATTACACTCAATTTAAAGGACAGCAATTTGGCTATATCTGATAAAACTGAAAACAAACATACTCTATAATCTAGCAATTCCACCTTAAGGTATATAGGTTAAATCAGGGGTGTTTTAAACTGTGAATTCATGACCCACTGTGAAATCAGTTTAGTGAGTCAAAATCAGCATTTTAAAAAATGAAATAGAGTATAAAAGAAAAAAAGTCAGAAGAGGAATTCCCTGGTGGTCCAGTGGTTAGAACTTGGTGCTTCCACTGCCAGGGCCCAGGTTCAATCCCCAGTCAGGGAACTAAGACCCTGCAAGCCACATGGCACAGCAAGAAAAGGAAAAAGTCAGAGGATATCACTTATAGTAAAAGAATAAGAACTGATTTGTGAAATTTTCTTTTCAACTGAGATGAATTTCAAAGAATGTTCATAAGAAAAGCTAGTCACTATGACTGCTATATAATTTAATTTATATATATAAGAAATGCGGGTTCGATCCCTGAGTCAGGAAGATCCCCTGGAGGAGGGCATGGCAATACAATCCAGTATTCTTGCCTGGAGAAGCCCATGGACAGAGGAGCCTGGCAGGTTACAGTCCATGGGGTCACAAAGAGTCTGACATGACTGAGCTACTTCAGCACACAGCAAATGATGTTCAAAAAGGTAAAACATAAATTTTAATATTTCAATATTTATTGTATGAAACATTCATACATCAGGTACTAAAAAAACATTTAAAAAATACAATGGAATCATTAACACAAAATTCAGGACCTCTGCAGGGGAAGGAGAGGGGGATGCATTTAGAAGGAGCAAACTCTGGGCTATAGAATTTCTTAAACATAATTTGTGTCCTTTTATATATCACTGTTTTTCAGAAGGTATAAGTATTTCTTGCTTTTGCTCTGTGCTATGTCAGAAAGAGATGGAAGTAGCTAGCCTAACTCAGCAGGGGAGATCGCTCTCATTCAGAACCAAGGAAGTTAAAGAAAGCTAAAAATTAAGCTGGGAGAAGGGAGAGAGACTGATAGACCTTAGAAGAAAGTTCAAATGGAAAAAATTAGGTTGGAGGGAAATTTCAAAAACATAGACAAAGCAATACTGTCTATTGTATTTGGGTATGTATATGTGAAAGAAAAATAGAACATGGACTGAATCACTCCAAATTCATGAAAATACATTTCCATGGACAGATTTTGCAGAGGAAAACAAGAGAGATAAACCTTACCTGTACTGTTCTATTTTAAATGTAAAATGTTAACCCATGTTAATTCTGGGGGTGGGTACATGGGTATATGCTACATTAACTCAATACTTTTCTATATTTTTTTGAAATACAGAAAAAAACTTTGCTGGTGAATATCTATTACCAATTTAAATATTCATACTTTTTTATTCTACTTCTAGGAATTTACTACAGATACACCTAGGTGCATGAGTGCTAAGTGCTAAGTCACTTCAGTCATGTCTGACTCTTTGTGACCAAATGGACTGTAGCCCATAACGCTCCTCTGTTCATGAGATTCTCCAGGCAAGAATACTGAAGTGGGTTGCCATTCCCTTCTCCAGGTCTTCCCAACCCAGGGATCAAACCTGGGTCTCCTGCATTTCAGGCAGATTCTTTACTGTCTGAGAAACCAGGGAAGACCTATCAGAGTGGGTTGCCATTTCCTACTCTAGGGAATCGTCCCAACCCAAGGATCTAACCCTAGTCTCTTGTGTCTCCTGTGTTGGCTGGCAGATTCTTTACCACTGCACCACTGGGGAAGCCCTTTATATATGTTCACTGCAACCCAATATATATATATGGTGCTAAAACTTTATAGTCATTAAAAAAATTTTAACAAATGAAATGAATTTATATATGTTAATATAGAGTATCCAACTTATATGAAATAAAGATTGCTTGCATATGCATATTAAATACATATAAAATATACATATTTATCTCAAAATATATTTGAAAAGTATATTATATATAAAATATACACATTAAATACATATTTATATTAAAATGTATTGTCTATATACACTTAGAACATCTCTGGAAAGAACACAAGAAATTAGTTAAAGGACAGGGGAAAAAGGGAAATTTATCTTGTTTCATATTCATCTGGGTCTTTTAATTCCATACTTCATATTTAAAAATTTTAAACTATTAGTACATATGACATAATACACAGAAAACATAATACAAAACAATGTACAACATAACTGTATTTTTGAAAAGCAAAATTTATATATGCCTAGAAAAATCTTGCAGATTACACCAATTTAGTAGTGATCCTATCTGGAGGGTAGGATTTAGAGGTCTTTTACTTTCTTCATGATATATTTTCATTATGTTTCAATTTTTCATGAGTATATATTACTAACATGATAAAATTATATTTTTAAAAACCCAAAATCTTTGTATGGACATCAACAATGGAATGGTTCCAAATTGGGAAAGGAATACATCAAGGCTGTATACTGTCACCCTCCTTATTTAACTTATATGTAGAATATATCATGTGAAATGCTTGGCTGGATAAAGCACAAGCTGGAATCAAGACTGCAGGGAGAAATATGAATAACTTCAGATATGCAGATGACATCACCCTTATGGCAGAAAGCAAAGAAGAACTAAAGAACCTCTAGACGAAAGTGAAAGAGGAGAGTGAAAAAGTTGGCTTAAAACTCAACATTCAGAAAATTAAGATAATGACATCCGGTCCCATCACTGCATGGCAAATAGATGGGGAAACAACGTAAACAGTGACAGACTTTATTTTCTTGGGCTCCAAAATGACAGCAGATGGTGACTGCAGCCATGAAATTAAAAGATGCTTGCTCCTTGGAAGAAAAGCTATGACCAACCTAGACAGCATATTAAAAAGCAGAGACATTACTTTGTCAACAAAATTCCGTCTAATCAAAGCTATGGTTTTTCCAGTAGTCACATTTGGATATGAGAGTGGGACCATAAAGGAAAGCTCAGTGCTGAAGAATTGATGCTTTTGAACTGTGGTGTTAGAGAAGACTCTTGAGAATCCCTTGGACAGGAAGGAGATCCAACCAGTCAGTCCTAAAGGAAATCAGTCCTGAATATTAATTGGAAGGACTGATGCTAGAGCTGAAGCTCCAATACTTGGGCCACCTGATGCGAAGAACTGACTCATTGGAAAAGACCCTAAAGCTAGGAAAGATTGAAGGCAGGAGGAGAAGGGAACAACAGAGGATGAGATGGTTGGATGGCATCACTGACTCAATGGACATGAGTTTGAGTAATCTGCGGGAGTTGATGATGGACAGGGAAGCCTGGCATGCTGTAGTCCATGGGGTCACAAAGAGTCAGACACGACTGAGCTGCTGAACTGAACTGAAAATCTTTGCAATAGATAAATATCAATCTTCTCTTTGGCACAATGAAATATTTACATTTTGATGCTAAAGTTTTTGTTACAGATATGGTTTTTCTTTCCCATATTGAAGGAAAGAGGTTTACTATTTTGTAAAGTTATTTAAAAAAAAAAAGAAAAACACTTAAGTTATTTTTCTTAGCAAGAGTTTTTTCCTCCAATAGCTTGGAAGATAATCTACTAGATATTCTTCTCTACTTATCATAAACTCTGTTTTAACTTTTCTTCATAAAGAGTTTTCTTGTACAATCATTTACTCCTGAGCAATATTGAATATAAAAAGTACCCTCATTGAAAGGGGCTTGGAATCATGTTTTTTCTTGTCATGTCTCAACTATCCTGAATATTTTTTATTCTGGCTTGCATTTTAAAATGAGATTTTACAGGCAGGGAACAAATATGGAGAGTTGCCAGTCCAAATTAAGAAATATAAATAAACAGGGTCTAAAGGGAAACATTTTACTGAAACAAAAGTGTTTTCTTTCAGAAACAAAGGAAAAACAAAATTTGTTTTCAGGTGGTACAGTTACAACTTACTAATCATGATTAATAACATTTACTGCAGTTCCTACAAGTTTTTTGAAAAATAAACAAAACTAAGGGCTTCCTTGGTGGTCCAGTGGTTAAGAATCCACATTTCCACTGCAAGGGGCATGGGTTCAATACCTGGTCAGGGAACTAAGATCCTGCATGCTGTGGTCAAAAAGTAAATAAATAAAAATAAAGTTAAACTAAATTAAAAGGACATCTAGTCATAAACAGGAGGGAAAAAGTCTCTACCCTTTAGCCTACTGGGCCAGGGGCTACAAAATACCATGTATGTGCTTAGTCATGTCTGACTCTTTTCGACCTCATGGACTGTAGCCTGCCAGGCTCCTCTGTCCATGAAATTTTTCAGGCAAGAATACTGGAGCGGGTTTCCATTTGCTATTCCCAGGGATCTTCCCCACCCAGGGATCGAACCCGCATTTCCTGCATTGGCAGGCAGATTCTTTGCCACTAGTGCCACCTGTGAAGCTCATAAAAATACTCATCTAGACATTTTCAAGCTAGAAAAATCTATCCCAACATGCAAGTCTGAGCATGGTGTTCAGCAGTATTTTGTGTCAATGGGCTTAGGGCGAAGAGAAAGCCACAACGACAAAAGGGTCACTGGCAAAGGATTTCCATTCTTCGATTCTTTTTGTTCCTTCCACAGTTCCTTACATAGTTTGATTTGAAAAAAGACTGCTGAAAAGGAACAAAAAAGAACTACAAAGAGGAAAACATGGAGAAGGTTAGAACTCAATAGTCCAGGACAATTTAAACAGAAAAGGATCAGGCAGCAAACTCCCAACTGCAGGCTGCTATGGTTTCAATCACTCCCATTTTGAAAACTGGCTCCAAATCCTTTTCTTTTCTATTCTTTGTTCGTGTCCATCTTCTGTTTCTCTCTGTCATTCCTATCTTCCCCTATTTTGCCAAGTTGTCAAAAAAAAAAAAAGAAATCAAGATCTGACCTACATCTCAATAGTGTCTACCTCTGCTGTACCTTTCTATTATGGAATCTCTGCCTTTCAAAGGAAGGCTTTATCTCAATTTCAAAGCCATAGGCCATAGCCAGGATTCTAAAGTGACTCACCACCAGAATAAGGTTGGAAATCCTCTGACCTACTTAAAAAAAAAGAGAGAGAGCCATAAAATGGCTATATTCACTTACCACGAACTTGCTTTTTTATTTCTTTGGCAGAATCCAGCCATGTCTGTAAAAAGAAGAAAAGGCATTCACATAGAACTCCAAAATACATTAACCACAGAGAAGCAGGGTTACTGACCATCTCCAATAGTGTCTCCAGGTCAACCTACATTTCCAACATTCTTTGCATTTGTTTCACATAGTATAGCACTTCTAAACAGAGAAACAAGGAGTCAGACAATTGGGCTTGAATCCTAGGTCTACTCCTTCCTGGCTTAGTGATTTTAAGCATCTCTGTACCTCAGTTTCCTCATCTATTAGAGGAAATAAAATGTGATATTAGAGGTAGTTATTATGAAGATTAAAAGAGTTAATATATATATAAAGTTTTTAGTAAATAAGAAATGTTAAATAAGCACTTGCTATTTTTATTATTATTCTGTAAAGCTCTACAACCAGGTTTATTGATATCACCCAGATCTTAATTTTTCCTCCAACTCTAACCTCCAGTACCATTCAAGTTCTCCATGTCAGCACAGTACCTGGTACGCAGTTCGTGCTCAGTTAATGTTTACTGAATGAATAACTATTTTGCTTTCTCTGATTACTCTTGCCCACACTAATTTCTCCCTTCACTGTTCTCCAACCACAGTTAAAGTCTGCACACCATGAAGGCAGGACTCCTCAACCCACCGTGGACCATGCAAAATTAACAGCACTTTAAAAGAGCCTCACCATTTCATAGGCAACTTGAGAAATGTTTAAAGACAGAAATTTCTAAATTGAACTAAGAGATTTTTTATTGACATAAGACATATACAAAAAAGAACATAAAACATATGTACAGATCAATAAATTATCAAAGTGAACATATACCATTTTATGCACCCTAGGAGCCCATTCCATGCCTCCTCCCAATCCCCGCCCCCTCATTGTTCCCTCTTCCAAAAGTTTAGAATGGAACTTCAGTTGTATTTAGAAGAGTAAGGTGTCTCTTCCTCACCCTGTACCACCAAGGGCAGAGTCCAAGGTGGCCATCCCCTCCCTACCAAGGAGTGAGCTTGATCACCACAATCTTACATTTGATTATATATTACTTTGAGGGCTCCTCTGGTGGCGTAGATGGTAAAGAATCTGCCTGCAATGCAGGGGACCCAGGTTCAATTATTCAATTCAGAGCATTTTATTTAGCCAAAAGGTATTGGTAGAATATCTCCGTGTGCTAGGCACCAAAGTTACAGAAAAGGATTTAAAAATAGTGATTGTCCTTAAAAAATAGTGCTTGTCCTCAAGGGGCTGTCAGTCTAATGGAAGAGGTGTGCGTCAGTCACTCAGTCATGTCTCACTCTTTATAACCCCACGGACTGTAGCCCACCAGGCTCCTCTGCCCATGGGGATTTTCCAGGCAAGAATACTGGAGTGGGTTGCCATTTCCTTCTCCAGGGATCTTCCCGACCCAGGGACCAAACCCGGGTCTCCTGCATTGCAGGCAGATTCTTTACCATCTGAGCCAGCAGGGAAGCCCATAGAAAAGGTTAATGGTGAACAATCAATACATCTTTAATTCTTAGAGACAGTTAGAAAATGTTTCTCAAAAGAATGGGGGAAAGGCCCTATGTTTCCCGAATTCACTAGTCCACTGACTTCCCCAGAAGAGGTTCTTGCAAACATGAGAGAAGCTGAAACTAGATGATGATTCAGAGACATCAACTTTTTTGCCCAGAAATATTTTATCTAAGGAAGGGGGACAATAAGCCCTTTTTTACATAGCCAGATTTGTACTTTGCTGTATAAACAAACAAATTCAGCTTTTATATTGGACACTTTTAACATTACTTTATACATAAACATATCAATTAATATAAATAAAGCAATTCAATGTTTTCTCATTAAAAAATAAATAGGGTAGTAAGAGCTACTATAAGGAAATAAAACTTGCTGATACGACAGAGGGCAGATGACCCGAACAAAGGCGAAAAGTTTTCAGTGCAACTAACAGTTTTGTACCAATGTAAGCCCTGGAAGTTCAACTGTAAACTGAAAGAACTTTCATTGCTGAATGCCTTCAGATGAGCGAGTTCCCAGCAATTTAAGAATATTGGTTCACAGAAAAATTATAACAATGATGTTAAAAAAAAAAAAAGTAGGCACCAGCACTCAGTGACTTCATTTATATGCCAAATTCAAGTGTTCTCAGATACTCTAACATAAACCTGAATGGGGTACACACACATAATATAAAAACATTTCCATATGACCCAGCAATCCCACTTCTGGGCATACACACTGAGGAAACCAGATCTGAAAGAGACACGTGCACCCCAATGTTCATCGCAGCACTGTTTATAATAGCCAGGACATGGAAGCAACCTAGATGCCCATCAGCAGACAAATGGATGAGGAAGCTGTGGTCCATATACACCATGGAATATTACTCAGCCATTAAAAAGAATTCATTTGAATCAGTTCTAATGAGATGGATGAAACTGGAGCCCATTATACAGAGCGAAGTAAGCCAGAAAGATAAAGACCATTACAGTATACTAACACATATATATGGAATTTAGCAAGATGGTAACGATAACCCTATATGCAAAACAGAAAAAGAGACTCCGATGTATAGAACAGACTTGTGGACTCTGGGAGAAGGCGAGGGTGGGATGTTTCAAGAGAACAGCATCGAAACACGTATATTATCTAGGGTGAAACAGATCACCAGCCCAGGTTGGGTGCATGAGACAAGTGCTCGGGCCTGGTGCACTGGGAAGACCCAGAGGGATCGGGTGGAGAGGGAGGTGGGAGGGGGGACCGGGATGGGGAATACATGTAAATCCATGGCTAATTCATTTCAATGTATGACAAAAACCACTGCAATGATGTAAAGTAATTAGCCTCCAACTAATAAAAATAAATGAAAAAATAAATAAATAAATAAAAATAAATAAATAAATAAATAAATAAAAACATTTGATTTTATCTCACTGAGATTGTATAACACAAAATACTTCTCAGAGTATTTTTCTCAGTTCATGGGAGAATTTTCTAACAGCTGCAGAAAGCTTTTCACTGTAGTTTTAGAGACATTGTTTTTTCAGCTCAGTTCAGTTGCTCAGTCCTGTCTGACTCTTTGCAACCCCATGAACCGCAGCACACCAGGCCTCCCTGTCCATCACCAACTCCCGGAGTCCACCCAAACCCATGTCCATCGAGTCGGTGATGCATCCAACCATCTCATCCTCTATCGTCCCCTTCTCCTCCTGCCCTCAATCTTGTGGTTTTAGAGACATTGTTTTTTAGTTACCTTCAACCTTACCTTATTAAGTTACACTGTATCTTGGAGAGGCAGGCATAAATACATTCTTAACAACAATAAATGAGTTAGAACAATTTTGGCAACAGGACCAAGCTAGTTGCTGTAGTTATCCGCTTCAAAATCAGCATAGGAAGAAATACAAATATATGTCTGATAATAAAAAAAAGCAATTTGGGGAGCTCAGTTTCTTATATTTCAAGCAGTATTCTCACCTTTGAGGTTGCATTATCCCAAATGGCCAGACCAAAGTAGTCTTCCTCCAAAAGATTGAGGTGTTCACACACTCGTTTAAGTAAGTCTTGTCCCTTAGCATGTTTCTGCAAAGATATACATATTTTGATTGAGGTTTCCACTTATTCTTGTATTTATCATGAAATAACATAAAATGTCACGTTCCAATTTCCTTTTTTCTCCTTGGTTACTAACACTTTCAGATGGCTACCCAGTGTAAATAGAACAAAATAACAAAAATCCTGTTTCTTAACTTGTCAGTTTAAATATGCAACACAGACATGGTTGCTTGGAAATGGTGCTACAATTCAAAGCAAAATCCCACATTCCCTGCATCGAGCATCCCCCGCCCTCCATCCTAAACATTACATTCTTTATTTTTGGTGTGATATTTCCTGAAGCTTGCTATGGGCTCCTGTCAGTCACTGTGAGCACCTGAAATAGCTAAATCAGCTGTCGACTCTAATAGTTAACAGTGGCTATGGAAATCATCAGACTATCATTCCCAGATCAAAAGCCCCAAGTCAATGAGCTGTGTCTCAACTCACTGCCATCTCTTTCAGAAAAATGCATAAACTATAAGATTTTAGATGCTCTATAGACATTACTCTCACAATTGTGCTCCAAATAATTTCTTAACATTCCTCTACCTAGAAAATCAAACCACCACCAATTTGAGACGCTTGTATTAACATAGGCGGATTCTTTACCAGCTGAGCTACCAGGGAAGCCCTATATAGCATAGATATTACTCTTATAATTGTGCTACAAATAATCTCTTAAAATTGCTCTACTTAGAAAATCAAACCACCACCAATCTGAGATACTTATATTCCTGTTTATAGGGAGGAAATGACGTAACTTAGGGGCTGAGATTTAGAGTCAAAAAGTCCCAGCTTTTTCATTTACTAGCTAAACAACAAGAGTTGATTCAATTAATATTTCTGAACATTACTTTCTCATCTGTAAGATGATAAGAATATTTATATCTGTCCTACCTAACAACTGGAAATGTTGAAAAAATTAAACATGTTAATACCTTCTGAGAAATATAGTTTAAATTTTTCAAAAAATTAGAAATCATTGGCACATGTACATGACACATACCCTTCTCTCAATGAGCTATTTTTAATGACTATTAGTAATTCACATAGTTGTTAAATCATTTTTAGACTTATCCCATCTACATTACATCATTTTCTTCATTTTCTCCCTTCTATGTTTCATTCTAAAGGACAGAGATGATTTGGGAATTCTTCACATACAGGTCCCTACTCTCTTATTTATACTTCCAAAATTCAGAAGTTCTAAAAAGTAAAAGGTGACGTTTATTTTGTTTTTGTTCAAAGCTCATCTGAAGGCAAATTCTAACCTGATCCATTATGGGTTAGTTTTTATTTTTATTTATCCAACTTAGAGAGAATCTTCATATATTTTACCACAGAAATAACATGCTTGGTCATGTGCCTACTGCTACACACTTGGCTGGGTGTATTATAAAATTTCCAGAGTATGTACTTATTGCTTTTCTAAAGCCCCAAATATTTTGAATACCGAAACACATCTGCCCCCACATGCTTCAGATAAAGGGATTCCTATCTAGATTTTGATCTGAGTGTGAAGAATGAATGTGGAGTAGCTCTCTCCATCTCTAGACTAGTTAGTAGTGAGAAGCAGAAAGAGCAGACCCCAGGTCTCCTTTAGTTACCAGTAACAGTAGCCATTTTTAAAATGCAACAGTGTATTTTTCTTGTTTTTCAAAACTTCAAGAGGGAATTTCTATTAATAAATACAATATAATATTTTAGACTACTTATTTGTGCTTTGATATATTTGCATATAAATAAATCAAATTAAAAATAATGTTATATACCTAAGATACAAGTATATATGAGTTATATGTATTAGAAATAATCTCAACAATTGCTTTTTATCAAGCATATTATAATTGATAATTACTGCTCTAATTTAAGAAAACAGCTGTTTTTAAGAAAACAGATTTTCAAGGATTTTCACTTGCCGTGAAGCAAAAGAATAATTGAAATATTAATAACTCTGACTTTTCTATTTTTGATTCAATTATTTATTCTTCCTGGAAATAATAGAGAATTTTAATAAATAGCATTACTTGATGTAAGTTTTTTATATCCTATCTCATGGAGCTAAAGAAATACATTAAATAAACTAAAGCTTATTAAAGTTTAGATCTGGGAGAGCAAAAATGAACATGTAGTAATTTTTTTTTTTTTTTACAAATACAATTATGGGGACTGCTAGACCTAGAAACTGAGGCTATCCTGGGAAATCTAGTCATGAAAGGTCACTCTATAAATAATCTTTTTTATTTCTTAAAATTATTTTGGGTTATAAAAGTAACACTCAATTCACAATACATATATTTGGCAGATATAGAAAAAACTGGAAAAGAAAATAAGACTCACTCATAATCCTTCCACACCTCCACCCCCAAAAAATCACTATTAACATTTCAGTCCATAGAAACAGTCATTATATAGGGTCTTACCTCAGACCATGGCACCACTTTATCCAATCCTACATGAAACAATCTGTAAGCGTTCTAACTACTGGAAATCAAAATGTCCTCACCTCCACCACACATTCATAAACTGTGTCGTCCAACAGAGAGACCTTGCAATGCATGCTTCTATGCCTTCTGATGGATTTCTGGGAAGCTTTCAATTCTCTCTCTGCTTTTGATTCAGGATCTTCTTCTTTTACTTCTATTTTAGAGCACTCCTCAAGTCCTCCTTCTTCCTTAGTCTCAAAATCTGGATCTTCTCTGTGTTCTTCCTGAGCAGGCTACATAGCCATGACATCACCAAGTCAGTAATAAAGACACTTCACAAAACATGCTGTACACTTGTTTGCTTATAATATGGCTACCAATAAAAGCACTAACTGAAGAAGAAAACTGTTAAAACAAATACAAGTTATAAGAAGATTAAACAATTATTTTCTATATAAGATATGATTACCCAAAGATCCACAGACTCTGCTAGTCCCAAAACTTTATAAGGTAAAATTTGTTCTTTTTTTTTCTAAAACTGAAGTGGGTAGCCATTCCCTTCTCCAGGGGATCTTCCCGACCCAGGGATCAAATCTGGATCTCCTGCATTGCAGGCAGATTCTTTACCAGCTGAGCTACCTTGGAAGGCCCCTGATATAAGGTAAAATTCTATCTTCAGGTGGAATGTCATTTTTCAAATCGATAAATGAAGGTTTCAGGTAAACTAGAGCATACCAATCTGTTGCTGTCAGCACTATATATTTTTACTGGCTATACCATTATCTATTCTTAAACTCTATCAAGACTTAAACATCTTTGCTCCTTGCTCCTCAATTCTAATGAGGTAGCCTTATGAATTGCAAAACAGGCTGTTATTAGTCATGCGGTCTAAATTTTATGAATGGCTAAGAGGGGTTCTCGACCAGTTTAGAGAAAAGGCAACAGATATAGTAGGCTAACAATTGCAAATACTAATGATCTAATTTTTCCTAGGTATAAACCATGACAAATGCAAAGAAGATTCAAAGAAGCAAGAGACAGACTGAAATCTAGATCCCCTAGGGCAATCATTAAGTCATTCCAAAGTAACACAGCTAAGTGAGACATTTTGGCATACCCCTACTTACTTTTAACACAATAAAACTGCTGATTCTTAACTAAACCTCTCTAATCCTTTTCTTTCAAAAGAAAACATAGTTGACATTTGAGAAGGATTTCATTATTTGTCTCCTGCTCCTGGTGGCTCAGATGGTAAAGCGTCTGCCTACAGTGCGGGAGACCAGGGTTCGATCCCTGGGTTGGGAAGGTCCTCTGGCAAAGGAAATGGCACCCCACTCCAGTACTCTTGCCTGGGAAATCCCACGGACAGAGGAGCCTGGGGGGCTACAGTCCATGGGGTCGCAAAGAGTCGGACATGACTAAGCAACTTCACTTCAGTAGTATCTAATGCAGGAGGAAATGAAGTGAAGTCGATCAGTCGTGTCCAACCCTTTTCGACCCCATGGACTGTAGCCTACCACGCTTCTCAGTCCGTGGAATATCCCATCTGCCCTATCCCCACTCTACCAGTACTCTTCATGTCAGTACCCTGTTTGTTGCCTTCGTAACATTTATGACGATAAAGAATTATTTCGTATTTACTGCTTTTTTTTGTCTCTTCCATTAGACAATAAAGTTATCAAGAGTAGGGATCAAGTTTATTCAATAATAACAACAGCAAACATTTATACAGAAATTACAATGGGTCATTATTGTTCTAAAAGCATTACTTATATGAACTCATTTAACCCTGTGGGGAATGTACAATTATTATCCCCCCTTGACAAATAAAAAATTGAAGGCAGAGAAGTTAATTAGGTAGGATCATACAGTCAACAAGTCACATACCAGTCAGACTCCAGAATTCATGACCTCTTTGCCGTATTGTAGTTTTTTGTTTACCAATGTCTGTCCAGCTTAGGGCCTAGCACACACAGTAGGTTTTCAGTAAATTTGGTGAGTGAATAAAAAAGTATTAAAAAATGACGCATGGTTTTCAAAAAACCCAAAGTACCCTAGATGAAGGCCAGTGCAATCCTACAATGCAAACTCAATTTTTTTTTTTTTTGCAAACTCAATTTTAAAAATCCTATATAGAAGAGGACCATTCAAATGAAACTCTACTATGAAATCAATGAATGAGATTTTAGTTAAATCTAAAATTTATCATCTGTATCAACTTAAATACAAATGTTATGATCTTTAAGACAAAACAGACTAATCCTGATTCAAATGCTAACTAAAACAAGATAGAGATTTTTCAGTACATAAAGCAAAGGGGGGAGAAGGCAGCTAAAACCTCTTGAAACTACCAGGCTTCCTGAAACATAATTTAACTCCTTTGGCATTCCTAAAATTAAATTAAATTAATGACACTAAAATATGTGGTTTCTCTGCCTTTACTGTTTATATATTTTTATTAACTAAGTAATAATAACTAACATTTATTTGGTGCTTATAGTATGTCAGATATATGTATCTTTTTTAATCCTCATAACACCCAAGTATGGTGAATATTATTATCCTCATTGTACAGAGGAGAAAATAAAGCAAAAGTGTCACTTGTCTGTGACTGAATTTTCTAGTCATATACTATAAATAAAACTTTGTCTTCAACCTACTTTCACTAATTAGTGAGTGAAGTCGCTCAGTCGTGTCCGACTCTTTGCGACCCCATGCCTCCTCCCTCCATGGGATTCTCCAGGCAAGAGTACTGGAGTGGGTTGCTATTTCCTTCTCCAGGGGATCTTCCCAACCCAGGGATCAAACTTGGGTCTCCCGCATTCCAGGCAGACACTTTAACCTCTGAGCCACCAGGGAAGCTGCTAATAGCAAAAACATAATAACAATTTTATCCTAAATTTTACTTAGAACTTTTAATATGCAAGCAATATTTCCAGAAATACATATATTATTTTTTAAATCTAATAAAACTATATAGCCCAAGTCTGAAACCTATAATGGAAACATATAGGACTTACACATTTTACAATGTACATAATGTCTGCATGTTTCAAAAATAAAATACTTTGAAAATAACTCTTAATTTTTAATTTATTAAGCCTGAAAACAAATGACACTCCTAGAAAACAGTTTGAATTGCAGTACTAATATTTTCCAAGTTTTTTGGACAGATGACCAGACTCACAACTCATTCTCACTTTAAGTACACTAAAAACTAAGCCTCCCCGCAACTACTATATATTACAAAGGTGATATAAAAGAGCTAAATTTCTTCATCTATATCTTACACTCTGTGGAAATATGATCTAGTTGTAGAAAACAACAAAGATAAGGCAGACATGGTTCAAACTTATTACCTACTTCTGGGTGGCCTGAATCTATCCCAAGGCTTTTATAAAGATTTCTGTAAAAGAACTATGTTTGTTGATAAATTATCCCATTTCTAATAATTCCACTAAAATGAACTCTAAACCACTTCACTTCCTTCCCCCTCACCATTAAAACTCCCAGACTTGTTCCATTATTGTAGCAAAATATAAATTCATTTGATACATTTCTTTCATTTTCTCTTTTTTGATTTAGACAGTATAAGTATCTTTTTAAAATTCTTTATTGAATTTGTTAAAGTACTGCTTCTGTTTCATGTTTTCTTCTTTTGGCCAGGAGGCATGTGGGATCTTAGTTTCCCCACCAGGGATTGAACCTGCGACTCCAGCGCTGGAGGTGAAGTCTTAACCACTGCACTGCCAGGGAAATCCCCAACATAAGTAAGTATCTTGACCGCGTGAATTTCATTAGAGCAGAAACTCCAAAGCATTGTGTTACTTATTACTAACAATACCTAAGTCAACTAGCTAGTAAGAAATAAAAACCAAATGTTCTTGAAGGTAAATTGTTTAACCTGCTTTCACCTCCCACTCAATCGCATACCCTTACCTGAGTTTCTGCACTGCTTAATGAATGGAGATCCAAGGATGGGTCTGTTTTGAGCTCAGGTTCAGGAGCTGCAATTGGGGCCTTTAAAATGATCTCTTCATCAAGACTAGCTCCAAATTCTATCTCTTTCTGACCTCCTTCACCTTTCTCTTTAGCTGACTCTACTTCTTTGCCTTCCTCCTCAGACACCTGAGATTTAGGCCTTTTGAGAAATGAGGAGAACAGCCGTGACAGGCCCCTGTTTTCTGATGTCCGCTCCTTGTTCTTGGTCAAGTCTTCATGTGTTGGAGTGTCTCCATTAGATGTTTTCAGCTTCTGCTCACACTGATTATCTCCCTCAGCTGCTGCTTGAGAAGCCTCTTCCAACTGAGTTTCCTGTTGACCAGAGTTTGTGGCTCCCTCACCCTCTTCCTTCTGTGGTTGGTGCTGTGGATTTTCAGCTTCAGCCACTAAACTCTTCTCTGTTGTCATGATGTTGCTATTAAAAAGAAGATGGCAAAGGGGGGCTCTTAGAAACAGAACGCATTACTGAAGGCAAAACCCTCAATCAGGTCAAGTGTGACAGAATTAGTATTTTTAGGTATTTAACCACCAACAGACAGTGCTCTCGTCCATTAAACAGGAGACTTTCCATTAAAGCACAAAAATATCTTACCTATACATCCTGGATAAATTATTAATGCTTGACTTGCTAAAGTTATGACATAGAGAAATTAGCTTAAAATAGGACCCCCTGAAAGCCAGCTTAGTGAAATGCATATTTTAAATTCAAAGCTCAAAACTATGTATAGCACAGTTTTATCCTTCCTAAAAAAAGATCTCACTTATACACTATTCTTTGACAGCATCAATCTTCGGGTACAAGGTTTGTAGAAATTATCTGCAAAATTCTCTACATCCCAAGAGATGATGGGATTAAAAGATTCCTCGGCTCTCCAGTCTTATTGTTTATATTTCTCAGAATGCATAGTAAGAACAGAAATGTAGAATTCTGATCATTTGTTATCAGACTTGACAATAGCAATGACAAGTATACAGTTAAAATAATCACAAAACAAATTCTTAGGATTTTGTGTTACAACATTAAATTGCCGAAGTCTCTGACTTTAAATTTTTTAAGATCTTTTTTCCTTCTGACAAATATGATTTAGAATACTCTTCATTTTTAAGAGCAGCAGTGAACTATTACAAGAGAGGAAAATAGAGAGATAATAGAGAAAAATGAAGATGCAAAATAGAGAAGAAAAATATTGATTAGAAAGCAAATACTGATTTAACTGTAAGAGAAGAGAAAGCAAGCTGTAGGCCTCACATATTTCAAACTTGTTGGTTTCTAGTCTCTTTCTCTCAAAACTCTCAGTACTATTAGTCAAGTCACATAATAATGCCAAAGAGTGATGTCACTAAAGGGTAACCACCACACCAGGGAACCATTGAGCAATGAAGTCGACTAATAATGACCTTACACTTACGGCTATACCTAAAAGTACTCCACTCAAAAAGCAGTGTTTACAATGTCTTTGCTTCTGCTCCATGCTGTTTAGATGAAGTGGTTTAATTCGGAGGCTAAAAACCTGAACTGATGAACCATATTTGGCCAATTCCGTCCTCAGACCCTTTACACTTTGTTCTGCCTATGATGTTCCACTCCTGGATATCTGAAAGCAGGTCCCTTCTCATCATTACTGCCTCTGCTCAGATGTCACTTCTTTAGAAAGGCTTCCCAATCACATCCTATCTAAAATAATGGCCCTCCGGATGGTCTCATAGCATTTATTACTATTTACAATTATCCTGTTAACTTGTTTATTGGTTTTTGTCTTCTTTCCCCCCATTTAGTGACATTACTCTTTGGCATTATTATGCAACTTGACTAATAGTACTGGGAGTTTTGAGAGAAAGAACTTAAAATTTAAGTTCCATGAGGACAGAATAGTACCTGGCACATTACAGGTATTAAAAAAGTCTGTTGAATAAATTAATTTCAATTGAATATACCTGAAAAAAAACTGCAACGGTGTTCTCTAAATTATTCAAGTAAATCTACTTCAAATGCTCCCTAGTCCTATGCTAGGGATACAAGAGTAAACAAAACAAGTAGGTCTATGTCATCATGGAGTTTATAGTCTTGATTCAACTTTAATCAATATAATGAAAGAATATTTAAGAGAATTCTTATTTACAATGAGTGAAATCTAAATAATTGTGTATCAGTGGAACAAAGCAGTGAAAAGAGAAGGAAGTTAATGGCATCAAGCACTATTTCAGTGCCAGGCCCTGGGGTCAGGGACATTATCTACATTATTTAAAGTAAGCCTTTCAAGAACCCTGAAGAGGAAAATGGAATTGCTTAATCTCATCGCTGAGGAAACAAACTCAGAGTAAAACTGGCCCAAGGTCACAATGATAGTAGGTGACAAACCACTGTAAGTGATATTGAAATAAATAAAGGTATAATAAAAGGAAAAGCCTTTATGTGAGTTCTTACTGCTGACGTACTCAAATTATTCTATTTTGAGCATTAAAAATATTTTTAAATAATCAAAATATTCACAGAAGCATATTCTCCAGTTTCATCTATTAAGTCATCAAAACTACCCTGTGCTAATAAATAACACAATAAGGTCTTTATAAACACTACTTAAATATTTACCAACCAATGTATATTCTGAATTTGCTACCCTTGAGTGAGGTACACTTGTCTTAATTCCTCCTTATATTAGGAGTAGGCAACTGATTTTTCCAAGGTTCTTTTTCTTTAATCTCTAAATAATCAAACTTGACCCAGAAAGAAAACGTGACTATCAAACCACCAGTTACTCTCAAAGAGTTATGATTTGATTTGAGAGCACCAATTTACTTCAAACTTCCTTCGCAAAAATAAACAAGAGGACAGGCTGAGGACTGAGCACTATTTTCCACAGATTTTGGATATGATTTTATCATTCATCTTACTGAAAAGACACAGAAACCACTTCTACATGGAAATGTTCCTACACAACAGACTTTACAACAAGGTCTCTCACAAAGATCCATAAAAAATTATAAATCTTTTGTGAACATTTTAGCAGACATGAAAATCGCTTAAATTCAATTCTAACAATCTTTTACTTATATTTTTCAATAAATAAAGAGTGTTTTTCTTGTGTTTTCAATTTTTTATCATTAAAAAAAACAGAAAAGATCTTCTAAGGATATTCCTATGATTTCTTTCCCATGAAAAGATGTCATCTCAGAGTAGCTGAATGAGTATGAGTACTCAACTGTTTAAAATGCATACACGGTTACAATTTGTATGCTATATGTGTGCTTGTTAAAGTTTAATGTGTGTTGAATCACCCAATAATCTTAAAATACAGATTCTGATTCAGCAGGTCTGGAACGGGGCCTGACTCTACGTTTTTAACGAGCTCCCAGGTATTGCCAATGCTGCTGGCCCACTGACCACACTTTGAGTAGCAAGGCAGAGAAAACTATTATTTCTTTGGAAACATACTCAAAATGTATGAGAAACAAAGATGGGAGAAAGCTACCTTCAGAAAGTGGAATGTGAACAGCGAGAAATAGTTAACACAATAAATGCCCAACAAATGCTTGCTGAATTAATGAATGAGTCAGCAAAGAATGCAGTATACTATTAAATGTGGAAGCTGACCATTAACATGTTTCTAGAACTCATCTGGTATTTAATCAAAAGTTAATCGAATTTTTCTACCACAGATCTGTGGCAATTTCAAGCTGTCCATGCAGCCCTGACACTTGACTACTTGACACTTGACTTTCTCCGTTGATATGATCTCGTGTGAGGCTCCCCTGATGGCTCAGCAGGTGAAGAATCTGCTCCCAATGCAGGAGACATGGGTCCAATTCCTGGGTGGTTAGACAACTCCATTGATATGAATCTCTTTGCCACATTTAGGAAGGAATAATCAAGACATATGAGTAAAGAATTAGAAAACATATCTATCAGTACAAAACCAAAACACTTTGCCACACATAATTACACTCATGTTTTTTTAAAAAAAAGCTAAATACAAGTAAGAAAGAGATGAGAATACCATATAAGAACAGGTAAACAAGCAAAAGGGTAAAAGAATTCTCTTAGAACATACAGAAACCAACCTCAGGTAATATCATAAACGCAAGAAAACAACCAGGGAATCAGACAACACAGATTCAGCAGAGATGCTAAAATTCAATCTACACAAGGATAAATGGAATAAAATTAACTGTTAACGACAGTTTTCATATGTGCCCTTTCCAGCCGGGCACATACGGGTAGCAATGCATTTACTGAGAGTCACAGGAGCAAAAGGAGGGAGGGAGGATGGGGGTGTAACAACTGAAACCAATATATCAGGCAAGTTTCTCCAGTTAACTCTGATACTGATGAGAACTAAACAAAAAATAAATAGCAAAAAATAAAAGTAAAGTCCTACGGACCAATTCCTCAAAGCTCAAATAAACTCATCCTGACAAATCTGTTACACATGCAGCCAGGTTCTCCACATTGCAAAAGACAGGATGGGTAACCAGGAGAAGAGATACAAAGAAGTCGAGCAGCAAAGACAGGATAAACGCTCTACAAACAGGCTCTTCCTGTGTAAATGATACTGTTTTTATCCTGGATGCAAAACCAAAAGGAGTTATCTATTTATTTAATGTCAGAAAGATGTCTTCTGATTTTAAAAAAGGGGGAAAAAAGATCGGCACAGCCGAAAAGACAGTGATGAGTGGTCCCATTCCATCATGATCCTAATCCTTCAGACCCGAGGAATTACACCCCATCTGCTCTCAAAGATACACTTACTTTAATACTGTACATCTGTTGGCTTCAGGCAAATCAGATCTTCACAAACCTGACACTGAGCAGATTGCAAGGGCCGGACAACATCTTTCATTGTTTTGTATCTCTTTCTAACAGTACAGTCAGTGCTCCACTAATGTTTTTTAGGTGGAAAACTTGGTAAAAACACTACAGTTTGGAATGACTAAGAAAATTTCCCTTACAGTCACCATTTAATGATAGAATTTAATTATTGGTAATACTCCTCAAATTAGTTCACTGAACATCTATCAGTGTTTACTGGATGCTAATTATATATAAGGTTTTGGCTCAGGTCTTTTCGAGGGAAACAAAAAGGTTAATAAACAATTCTCAAGGAGATAAGACATATACTGCTGCTGCTAAGTCGCTTCAGTCGTGTCCGACTCTGTGCGACCCCTTAGACAGCTGCCCACCAGGCTCCCCCATCCCTGGGACTCTCCAGGCAAGAATACTGGAGGGAGCTGCCGTTTCCTTCTCCAATGCACGAAAGTGAAAAGTGAAAGTGAAGTCGCTCAGTCGTGTCCGACTCCTAGTGACCCCATGGACTGCAGCCCACCAGGCTCCTCCGTCCAAGGAATTTTCCAGGCAAGAGTACTGGAGTGGGGTGCCATTGCCTTCTCCAAGACATATACACAAATAACCA